TAGGGTATAATGTTCGTACACATAACACGTAACTTATGATATCCGACTTTCACGTTATGACCAGTTGACAATTGTCGGCCATTATTGTCATGATGCGCGCGCAAAAAAGGACAGAAATATCCCCTATGTTTTGCTTCTCTCTCCGTTCTGCCAAACCCAACGAATATCATAGGGTGTTTACGATAATTCAAGTTCGAGTTAGTTTCACTAGAACCGAAAAATGAGATAGACATAACCATCTAGAATCTTTATGATTTATGACAACTCAACGCTGTCTTGTATTGCTTGGGTTAAATTAATTGAATTTGTTGAGTTTATAGAGCAAATTTTATTGTAATAAAAAATGTTAACTGCAAATCAGTCTATGAAAGAAACAAATAATGTTGGTATGTATGTTGGTATACCTCTTTAATAGATATAATTATATATATATGTATATAATTATATTTATTAAACCTCAACAAATTCAATGAATTTAACTCAAGCAATACAAGACAGCGTTGAGTTGTCATGAATCATAAAGGTTCTAGATGGTTATGTATATCTCATTGGGCTTGTTCGTTTTAGCTGCACTGGGGCAGCTCTGGGTCTGCTCTAAACAAGATAATACAGGACAAACTATTTATCTGTCTTGTATTATCCTGTGTAGAGCAGACCCAGAGCAGCCCCAGTGTAGCTAAAACGAACAAGCCCATTGTCGGTCCTAGTGAAACTAACTCGAACTTGAATTATCGTAAACACCCATAAAGAAAATACGGCATGCTGGATCTAGTTATATATGTCTATGGTTTTACTTCTATTCCGACAGAGGTGCTAGTTTCACTCTTGTCGACCTTTGAATAGTCGAATTTAGTTCTTTTTTATGTTGGCAACTTTGAAAAATGGTAACAACGTAAAACGTCTCTAGGTAATAAGTTTCTAGTAATTCATATCCATTCGAAACGCACGTGCAGAACCGTGGAACCGCGCGCGCGCTTGAGTAGTGTGTCGCCCCTTGAAAAAGTTGGACATCGTTGACGCTCTCCGTTTCGATTGCACCGGACGGATTTAAAAGGTGTGTGTGCGCGTATCTGTGAATCAGAACGAAGGCCTGCAAAAGAACGAAAAGACACCGGGAAAACGAGTTTTATATGAAAAGAGCGACACTAGAAAAGAGAAAACCGTGCTTAAACCTTGTTGTCAACCTCGTCATTTTCTTCGTGCCGTTGTCGTTGGTATCGTCTTCGTCGTCGTCGTCTAAATGGTTGCGGAAATGGCAGTCGGTGCACAGATCGACACGTCCGAACGAGAGACCGGCAACACAAAAATCCCTTTGCTGAGCGGTGATCAGGAACACGAAACCACAAAAGCGATCGGTCAGTATCGATATATATTTTTCGCGCATCATACTAAGCGCACGAAGTGCTACAACGCTTGTTAAGGTTAATCTCGAAAAGAATCAAACGCGTTCTATCTCGCTTGCGTTATGTAATCTCTGACGAGGGCATCATTCTCGCACGCATTTTATTGTGGCTGTTTTTCGGATTGTCGGGACTTTTTCATTTCATCATTCGGTTCAATCGAGCAGTAAACGTAAAGCCGGCCTCAATCGAGCGAATGCGTAAGAGAGAGCGAGATGGAACACGACTCGTGTTATGTAACCCTCGAATTGCGCGAATCTCGGCGCATGGGGTCATGTGAGCTGCTAGTAAGCACGAGGAGGCGAGACGGGAAGGGGAAGCCTAGCAGAAGACACATCGCAGCGCCAATAAACGAATTTTTTTTCAATTGCTTAAGCTTGCATGCGAAAATATTTCTTAATTGAATATTGAGTGAAATTGTAGTTTTGGATTTCTGTTGCTTCTTCTTTAGAAGATTTATATTGAATATTCGAGATATTCTGCGAAGTACTCTGTCTTTGAAATAGTCGGAATATATATCAATGGGAATACATATCTCAATACTCGTGAAATAATTCAGCAAGATAGTGTGAAGGATAATAATGAACGTATTTAGTGAAACATTTTTCGAGGTTTCGAGGTTATCTTTTCGAGCGTTATTCGAGAACGTCTTACATAAGACTAGTGTAATGTTCGTCGAAATATTCAACAAGGAATTTTTCAAAATCTTTCGAGTCGCAGTCTCCAAAAGAGGAAAATACTCGACTTTGACGAATCGTATTATTTATTTACAAGATATTCAAAAACAGTTCACGTAATAATATTGGTAAGTGGAATATGAAATTACAGAATAGACTGTAAACCGCTTTTCATGCGGTCTTTTAATTTTATAAATATATAAATTGCAATTAAAATTAATATTTGTTCGCGTCTGCTAAATTTAGAAACATTAGCGAGGAATCTATCGGGCGAGTGAAAATATCAATAACTTTGCAAGCTGAAGCAGTAATGCAAATTATTAGAATTTCAACGGCGATAATTAGCCGGCAAACAGTCGGCGAATGATAAACTTGTCAACGAGTTTTTCGAACCCGCAAATTTTATTCTAGAAAAAAACTAATGATGGATTGTTGCTCGCACGATGAAGTGAACGGTATGGACCAACGCGTTGCAAATGCTTGCATGAACACATGTTGCGATTGCGTTTACGTAATACGTCCAGCTAGGCTCAATCCTTGACAATAGCACACGTTTTGCATGAAAACTCGATGTAACATCGACATTTAGAACGAATTTTGTTGTATGACGTAGCATTGTTTAAAATGTAAGATACAAAATATTAACAGTCGGGAAGTGAATACATCAATATTTGAGATAGGGAAGCTATTAACATTGCATTTATAAATCTCAATACAATGTAATGCTTAACGTTTCAGAATAAACAATTAGATATGATGCAACATTGAGATTTCAAGTGACGTCAGTTCATAGTACAAGTCATTAATATGTAATGAATATCAATCTATGGTGCAAGATCTACTGATATTGCAATGAATATCAACATGTAGGAACATCAACGATATTTAGAATTAATTTCAATAGATCAATCTTGAGATAAATAAATAATTATTGGATTATTGATATAATAAAGCAAAAAATACGGAATAATCTTCTAGTACCAATTTCACACAACTTTTTTAAATAAAAATTAATCTTTTTGTTAGGGTAATAGCATAAATTCTTAAAATTCCAACAATAAGTGATAATTGATTCTTTTTTCTTTATAAACACGAAAGATCTAAATAGGAAATTTAGAAAATACATGTTTCTCTTCTAAAAGAATTGGGAAGTTATTTTCGAAGATCCTAGCTCGTCTCAATATTGTTAGGCATCAAATTACTTTCTCTTTTCCCAGAACAAGTTTTTTCTGAACAGATGTCGAACAGATGAAAAGTAAACGCTCATGTCTGGCTTAAGATTAGATATTTCTAGAATTGATCTTAGATAGTGTCGCTAAATATCTACAAACAAGGATCAGTATATAATTGTCTTCTAAACCTACTAAACTGCAGTTTACAATCATCTAAACATGAAAAGTTGCCTGAGAAATGCATTTGAAGTGTTGGAAGAGTTAAAAAAAACTATTCAAAAGAGCGCCATTATTGCAGAATTATTTGCATACTTGCAGATGTAAGTAGAAATGAGGAGGGAAATGAGGCTCGGTTTAGCGATATACGCCTCTTACTCACGTGTAGTCGAGGGAACAATGGCGGTGCGGAATAGTGAACAAGTATCGATAACAGAGGTTATCAGTGCGTCGACTATTATATTGCTGCGGGATCCTACGTCAAGCAAACATCCCCTAATGATAACCGAGTTGCCGGGCTAACCGGTACAATTGCAGCGCACAGCGAGGCCCGTACTTTCACCTTTGAGCTTGCATGTTTAAATCGATCCTCCTCACGTGTCTCCGACGCGTCGTGACTCGCATAACTCTCGTACAGTAAACCCATCTCGTTTGGATTCTATATTTAGCAGTAAAATAGTTATCCACGGCATATCTATCTTTGAGCTCGCATTAACGCTTTCTAGTTACTTCACTCGGATTTTGTAGTTCCAATAGATAGTCTATCTTCTGGGAAAAAGAGCTCGGCAGATGTAAAAAGATATGTAAAAAAATGATACCTGAAAAATTAGGAGCGGCTTTGAAATTTCTCGATATTCGTGCTGTCTGAAATTAATCTTAGCAAAAATAAGCATGCTTTACAATTTTTTCCTTGATGTAAAAAAGTTCTGAACTCTCTCTTATTATCTATTTATTTAAAAATATATAATTTTCTTTAATTTATAATGTGAATTTTTCCCAAAAATTTATAATAATTACGTATGTCTTTCAATCTTTTCATTCCTAACACGAATATACATACATGATTACTATACTTTTTTATAATTTTAAATTCTTTAAATTTATTGAGCTACTTTTAAGATATCTGCTGATTTGTTGTTTTGTGAGGTAAATTCAGAAGGATGTTGTTGCGAGACTGATGAAAGTTATACAATCGTATAAAATTGTTTGAGAATAATGGATTGTTCTCTCACTCTTGCAAAGATCAATGGATGCCGCATTGCAGTTCGGGGGACACCATGAATTAAATTAAACGGTGGCGATTTAACAGGGAGGAGAAAAGCGCGGCGATTCGTTCATTAGCGGGAGCATCAATGGTCATCTGGTCGTAGATGTTTTATGAATGACATTAAAGCCGCGCGCGTTTTCGCGCTTTCGCGTGAATGAAACTAATGATACCATTTATCAACGTGTTTAAAGAAGCACAAGCGATAAACGATCGCGTTTGTTTGCCATAATTGTTAATAATAATATTCTGCCAGATGTAAACCATAAGTCGATTTCGTAAATGCTTAATGAATTCTATTTGCTAGTTATAAACGAATTACTGTGTAACGGCGAGTTTCATTATCACCTGTTGCGTCACTTAAATATCTCTATTTTAACGGGCTTTTGTCTCGAGATTCAATAATAACTAATTTTATTTATAGCAGTTAAAGCGTACGTAAGATAAATTTTTTTCTTACGAATTCAGTAACTTTTCAAATGTTGTTTTGATTAATTAATTTTATATTCTTATTTAGCAATATTTTGAATGTTGTTAAAATATCACGAAATAATTAATAAGCTTGAAACAAAATTTTATTTAAATTGCAGCCAATTAAATTTTCATTAAAAAGCCTTAATTCTACATTCAACATATTTTACACACCCAATATATATTAGTTTTAAATAGTTTTAAATTAAATCTTAATATTTTCTGTGATTTTTTGTAGTCTTTCTTTTCTCATTTTGTGATATTTTATCTGTATTCGATTACGTGCGTTGTAACAAGAGTACAATAATTTTACACCGAGCGATAGTAGCGGAACGCTACTTGATAACGGCGGTGATAAGATGACGAAACGGGCGATAACAGAAAACGAAAAGAAGTTAAGGGAAAGAAAAAATTATGTACGAAGTAAAATTCTGTAAATTTCTTATCTAACCATTTAAAAATAGTTCTTTTGGTTCATTACGCGAGACACGTGTGTCTCTCTAATCGCATCTAATTTCTTATTCAAATATTCACCTGCATAGAGCGTTGAAGCATTGCTGAGAAAAAAATAATTAATAGAAATAAAAACATATAATTTATTTGTCCTTGTGAAGTGCAAATTTTTGAAGATCCTTCTGTTGCTTTTTTATCGTAGATTTATATATCATTCTCTGCACTTGAATTATGACATAGTTTACTTATCAATTACGCAACTTGCTGATTATTAGTTGAGAATTGCTCAAGAAAGACCGATAATATTTGCGGAACATGGCTTATTGAAGCGCAAAGTTAATTGCGACCACCTGTTTTTATAAAGTTTTTCCTAGTAATATTGATATAATTAAACACTATCTGATGTAGTTAAACATTAGCTTAAGAATTCACGATCAAATTGAAAGTGTTAAAATACATGCGATAAATAAGATTGTAAAACGAAAGGCATTTTTTCGTTATTTATTACAATATAATGCGCATTATAAAGTATTTGACAGTGCTTTCAACTGAAAGAAACTCATTGCCGCCAAAAATCAATTAATAGAAACTAATATAATTAATAATTTGTTATTTTAATAATAGTATATTTATTTGTACAGTAAGAATCGAGCTATGATAAGTGATGAAAATAGAAAGGAAGAAACAATGGTTTAAAGACTACAAAAAAACATATTTTAGTCGATTGAACAAAAACTAATTAAATAAAAAAATTAGTGTAATTTTAACAATTTATATAATAACGATACTGACAGATAATAAAAAACGGAAAAATCAAATATTACTGTAACAAAACCACGTCACAATAATTACAGTTACTAAATCAAATGACACAAATCATTGTTGCCGCGTGTCTCTTTGTCAGATATATTGCAAATACAGGCCCCAATATAAATAGTACAGAATTTCAGTGCAAACTATTAACTTCGTCGCTTATTTATATGCGCATCGATGAATGCAAGAGTGGCGAGAGAGCGCATAAGAGAATGCATGCGACAAAACGAGACCACTTTGAGACTGCGGTGTATTTATATCCTCTTCGCGAACGTGTCGCAACCTTTTCAGTGTCAGGGCGAGAAGTGAATTATTATAATATTTTGCAATTTATTTATATAAATTAATTTTATTCATCTTGGATGTTTAAACCGACCTGCTCGAGCTCCGATAATTGTATGTACGCATTTAACTGATTTACGCGATATATCTAATGAGATTTTGGCAAAATACATTAATCACAGATAGAGTATAATGAACTGAATAAAGAGCCAAAACAAGGTTATTGTGCTGCAAAAATGTATAATTAATTAAAGTATAAATATTTACATTAATTAAAGTATAAATATTTATACTTTAATTAATTATACATTTTTTTAGCACGATAACCTTGTTTTGGTTCTTTAATTCATTATACTATATATTTATTATTTTTCAAATAGAAGAGTCTTGACTTATTTTATAATTTTTGATTGCCCATAAATTCTTTGAACACATTACAAAAGATTTATAAAATAATTTGCAAAATGATGTGTTTCTTATACGATGAACTATTTACAGAAGTGAAACAGAAAGCAGAGGAGAGCGGAAGTACAAGCGGAGCCACGGAGAACGTTGTAGAAAAGGGGGAGGTTGAGGCGACGAAGGAAGGCGAGAAGGAGAAGGATAAAGAGGATAAAAATAGCGGCAGGAACGAGAAGGAAACGGAGACTACTGATAAGGAGAAAGATGCCCCGAATGATCAGGAGGTTGTCTTTATTCAGGACATGGGCTTCACCGTCAAGATTGTCAGCCCAGGTTCCGAACCCTTTGACATTCAGGTTTCTAGCATGGAGCTTGTTCAGGTAATTGTATACGTTTTGATGATAAAACAGATGTGATTATTTCAGCCCGAAATTAATTTCACCGGCTTCGTCTTATCTATTACTCAATTTATTTCGCGTTTTCATCAATTTTATCGAAATATTTTGAAGAAATACTCCAAATCTGATTCCACCGATGCGTTTTTTCATCGCAGGAGATCCACCAGCTGCTCATGGACCGCGAAGACACTTGTCACCGTACGTGCTTCTCCCTGCAACTGGACACCAACACATTGGACAACTTCGCCGAGCTGAAGAATATCGAAGGCCTGAAGGACGGCTCGATCATCAAGGTGGTGGAGGAGCCGTATACGATGCGGGAGGCGCGTATACACGTGCGGCACGTGCGCGACTTGCTCAAGTCCGTAGACCCCGCGGACGCTTACAACGGCGTCGAGTGCAGCAGCCTGTCGTTCCTCAATATCGTTACGAACGGCGATATTCTGGAGAAGAAGAAGACCCGGGCGGATTCCGTCGACTGCACGCCGCCTGATTACATCATACCCGGTTGCAAGGACAGGCCTCTGTTGCCCCTTCAGCCGCAGGCGAAAGAACAGAAGTGTCCTCCGTGTTTAAAGGTTGGCGATTCTTGATAATAAATCCAGTTAATGATTCTTAATCAGTTTATTAACACGTTTCGTGTCACGTGGCTCGCGCTGAACTTTCCGCTCAGGCTGTTTAAAACAAAATATTTCTCTCATATTTGGTGTACGACGCATTTTGTATATTACACTTCTTTTTCGTTGATTTTCTAATTGAAATCTTGTATAACATATATAATAAATTTCAGGACACAAGTAGAAAGTCACGTAAAATCAGAGCACGGAACGTGTTCATAATTGTAAGACTTGAGCAGATAAAATAAAAGGTAAATTGATTATATTGGATAATATATCAGGGACAGTTTTTCTTCTTTTTTTCTTTTTTTTTTTCTTGAAAAGTTCAAACAAGAAAGCCGAAAAAGCTCCAAGTCTTTCAATATATTTTGGAAAATAAATTTTAGAAGACAGATTTTCTTTTAGAGACGAAGAAGTCTTGGTAATAAAGTTTAATTAAATTTATCAAAGAAACGTAGATATATTGTATAATATATCTAGCACAAAGCAACGCAGATTATTTGTTCCGAAAAAAGTTCATTAAAAGATTTCTTTCTTATTTCTTTCAAGATTCAAAACGAGATTTTACTTTCGTCTGAATAAGACGGAGACGAAGAGTTTCCAAGTTTCTTTTACATTTCCCCAGGTTCTAACAACGTCGGGATGGAATCCACCGCCCGGCCATAGAAAACTTCACGGTGACCTAATATATTTGCATGTAGTGACACTGGAGGATAAGCAGTATTACTTGACCGCGTGCGCTAGAGGCTTCTTCGTCAACCAGTCAACCAAGGAGATGTTCAATCCCAAACCGGCCACGCCTAGTCACTTGTGCCACAGCCTAATCGAGCTGCTGAACCAGCTCAGTCAGGCCTTCAAGCGAGGCTTCGCCGCTATGCAACGACGCAGGACTCAGAGGCATCCCTTCGAACGAGTGGCCACGCCTTATCAGCTGTATGCCTGGAGCGCGCCGCAAATCGAGCATACCATCGATGCCATTCGCGCAGAAGACAGTAAGTGCTGCCAAAACTTTAATGACGTACGCATATACATCGCCTTTGATTAATTCTAATAAATTCTCTTCATTCAATCGATCCCTTCTCTCGCCCTTAGCCTTCTCCTCCAAGTTGGGATACGAAGAACACATCCCGGGACAAACTCGCGACTGGAACGAGGAGCTGCAGACTACGAGAGAATTGCCGCGTAAAAATCTTCCCGAGAGATTGCTGCGAGAGCGAGCTATTTTCAAGGTGCGCCGTCGATCTCTCCTCAATATATCAAATAACAGATAGTTTTCTCTTCAACAATCAATTCTTCTCTTCCCATTGTTCAGGTTCACAGTGACTTCGTGGCGGCAGCGACTCGCGGAGCGGTGGCGGTGATCGACGGCAACGTGATGGCGATCAACCCGGGCGAGGAGGCAAAAATGCAGATGTTCATCTGGAACAATATCTTCTTCTCGCTCGGCTTCGACGTGCGCGATCACTACAAAGAGTTGGGCGGCGACGCCGCGGCTTTCGTAGCGCCTCGCAATGATCTACAGGGCGTCCGGGTGTACGCAGCTGTGGACCTGCCCGGTCTCTACACCCTCGGCACCGTCGTCATCGACTACAGGTGCGTTTTTCGAATCTTACGATTTCACTTTGCGCTTTTATCAAGCTTTAATTAATGAATCCTTTCGCAGAGGCTACCGTGTCACCGCGCAATCCATCATACCGGGCATACTGGAACGCGAACAGGAACAGTCGGTAGTCTACGGATCGGTCGACTTCGGAAAGACAGTCCTCACGCATCCCAAGTACCTCGAACTGGTAAATGTGCATGCGAAATCGTAGTGAAATCAGTAAGAAGGATGGTGAAAAAATTGAGATACAGATAGCACGCTAATGTCTACGTTGAGAAAAGATAATGCAATCAATTGAACACTCGATCGCTTTATTTAGCTGAACAAAGCTGGGCAGCAGCTGAAAATCCTCCCCCACAAAGTGATCAACGACGCCGGCGAGGAGATTGAATTGTGCAGCAGCGTGGAGTGCAAGGGTATCATCGGTAACGATTCGCGGCATTATGTGCTGGATCTGTTGAGGACCTTTCCGCCCGACGTAAATTTCCTCAAACGTGAGTCGAAGAATCCTACGGTAATTCGAAAAAGCTGTGCGTATTCCGGTTATGCGAAAGATATTCCGCTTCAGTTGAAGGTGTGGAGCTGAGCAAAGAGGCGCGAGCCTTGGGCTTTCCGGTGGAGCACAAGCATAGATTGGCCTGCTTGCGTCAGGAGCTCATAGACTCATTTGTCGAGGCGAGGTACGTTCAGTTTATCAAGCACGCGGCCGTTAATCTGCAGCAGCTTACGTCAGCTAGAAGATCTCAAAAGGAAAAGGAGGCGTCTGCTAAGGTAAATATGTATGGCTTTATCGCAAATAATTCGAGATCGTGATTATAAAAAAGAGATAATGCGAACGTTGGCGAACAATATGGGTTTTAGGAGGGCAAGAAGGAGGACTTAACTGTCGCCGTAGCTGTAGACAGCAACAAAGAAGACTGCACTCAGTCGTTGATAGAAGCCGATGAAGCTAAGAAAATCGTCGAGAGCATCACCGACTCGATCACGGGCGGTGAAAAACAAGAATGTGCGTATCATATCTTTTTCTAGATGTATTAATTATTTTATAGAGTTGATAAAAAAGAGTGGCTCTTAATAAGAATTCTATCCGAAGAAATGTTGCACGTCGAGAAGAAAGAAGGAAAGAATATCAAAAATTATGAATTGTAGAGAAATTATTATATAAAAGATTGCACAATTTAGAAGAGAGCGAGGTATTGGTCGTGTAATAAGTTTTGTCGCTTGGCGATAGTGGAGGAGAGCACGAAGGAGATAGTGCGAAAAGCCGCAATGGCGGTGGGCAGTCTGCGAGACGCCGAGTTCGACGTGAGATTCAATCCAGACGTTTTCTCGCCTGGCGTCAAGCATCCGGATGCCAACGGTTCCGACCTGAAGAAGCAGAAGCAATTGGTGAAGGACGCCGCGGACTTCCTGCTCACGATGCAGCTGCCAACATTCGTAAGTTCGTCGTCGGATTGCGCGAAATCTTGGCATTTTTGCGATTCGATTGGAAGCTACACGTATAATTCTTTATTCTAGATTCGAGAGTGCCTGGATCACACAGCAGCCGCGATGGACGGCAGCACGTTGGTGGAGGCTCTTCACGGCAAGGGTATCAACGTTCGATATCTCGGCAAACTGGCGGCCATGCTGGCCGCGGTGCCGCAACTGCAGTATCTCAATCGCATCGCCGTGTCGGAGCTGATCCTTCGATCCGCCAAACACATCTTCACTTCTTACATGCAGGTATTGATTACTTTTGGAGGAGCGGAGTCCGAATTTTTGGGAGAGCGGAACTAGAAGCGCATTGTTTTGCAGGGCACGGAACTGATGAGTTTGTCCGCAGCCGTCAGCCACTTCCTGAATTGTCTGCTGTCTTCGGCGCAGATTATACATCCTCAACAAAATTTGGAAGAGGTACAGCAAGCCATGGCGCATTGAATCACATGACGCGTATATTTAATGCATAATTCAGAAAACATCGCGACAATCGACAGTTGAAATTTTGCACTAATTACTTGATCAGTGATCGTTTCTTATTTCAGCTTCAAAGCAAAACTGCCAAACGCCGCAACAAACGCAAGGGTAGAAATAACGGACCGCAGCAGTCGGAGGTGGAGTGGGCGTCATTGACGCCTAAATCGCTGTGGCAGCAAATCAAAGGTGATCTGAAAGCCTATTTCGACTGGGAAACGCCGAGTCCGGAGTCCCTGGATGCCACGATAGAACACTTCCATTTGCAGAAGATCTCGCTGCTGCGTGGCTTCTGCACCAAGGCCGGCATTCAGATATTGCTGCGCGAATACAACTTCGAGAACAAGAACCGGGCTACGTTCTTCGAGGAGGACATACTGAACATCTTCCCTGTTGTCAAGCACATCAATCCCAGGGTGAGCTGCTAAAGCACTTGAAAAATCTAATAGCTTTGAAACTTTACAAGTGATTAATTTATTGCAACAATGATCAATTTAAAAAAAAAAAACAGTTTTAAAAGAGTTTAATTTGGAGATCTAAAAATGTTTGAAGAGCTAAACAATAATTTTTACTCAAATTAGGGATTCGAGTAAATTCTAACTCGATTTCTTTCAGGCCAGCGACGCGTACAACTTTTACACCACCGGCCAAAGTAAGATCCAGCAGGGTTATTTGAAGGACGGCTACGAGCTGATCAGCGAGGCGCTGAATCTTTTGAACAACGTGTACGGCGCCATGCATCCCGAGATCGCGCAATGTCTCAGAATGCTGGCGAGACTGAATTACATAATGGGCGATCACGCGGAGGCGCTCGCCACTCAGCAGAAGGCTGTGCTCATGTCGGAAAGAGTCAACGGCATCGATCATCCGTATACCATCACAGAATACGTAAGTCTTCTAATGCAATTATGATTAACGTTATAATAGTGAAAAGATGATAAAAGTTTTAGGTTATTTTGTCAACTTTTGACGATAAAAGTAATATTAAGTGACAATATTATAATATACAACTAATAATCTACATTCGCAGATACATCTCGCCTTATATTCCTTCGCCAACGGCCAGGTGTCTGTCTCGCTAAGACTTCTGTACAGAGCACGTTATCTGGCGCTGCTGGTCTGTGGCGAGGATCATCCGGAAGTGGCCTTGCTGGATGTAAGTTTGCCGAGATGAATTTCACAAATCTCTTTCATGAGAAGTTCTTGTATATCCAAAGCTACATCTCCAAATGAACGTTTGAACGATGATACTCGACTCTTTCAGAGCAATATCTCGCTGATCCTGCACGCGGTCGGCGAGTACGAGCTGTCGCTGCGCTTCCTGGAGCACGCGTTAGCCCTGAATCTGCGTTACCACGGTCCGCGCTCGCTGAAGGTGGCGGTTTCCTATCATCTGGTCGCGCGCACCCAGTCGTGCATGGGCGACTTCCGGGCGGCCCTGAACAACGAGAAGGAGACGTACGCGATCTACAAGCAGCAATTGGGCGAGGAGCACGAGAAGACGAAGGAGAGCAGCGACTGTTTGCGCCACCTGACCCAGCAGGCGGTCGTGCTGCAGAAGAAGATGAACGAGATCTACACGGGCAAGTCGGGCGTGAGCTTGCCGCCGATTCAGGTGCAGGCGCCGAGCATGGGCTCGGTGCTGGATATGCTCAATGTGATCAACGGCATCCTCTTCGTGCAAATCAGTCAGCAGGACATCGACAACTTCAAAGCAGAGATCGAAAAACGGCAGAAGGAACAGTCGCCGGACAGCGGCGAGGCCGTCAAAATGATCACCGAGACGGACGCCAAGAAGGACGACAGGGAGACGAAGAAGGCGTCCGCGGAGAAGAAGATCGAGCAGAAACCGGAGACCAAAAAATTAGACGATAGCAAAGAGGACACCCTGGAGCCGGTCGCGGTGGCGGAGAGCTGAGTTCTTTGCGCACCGACGACGAACGTCAGTAGTCTTTCCTTTCTCTTTTTTTAAATCCTAGTCCTCTGCCGCGAGGGACGACTTCGCGCGCGCTCGAGGATCATTGCGTATATGGTTATGTGTATGTATGTGTGTTCTCATACGCAGCATACATATACATACTTCGTATTTGTACTGTTTTGTTGTACTTTTCAAACGCAATCGGGTTATAAGACTAGTTAAAAAAAAAAAAATGGAACGAGATGCAAGTTTCTCATCGTTTGCTAAGAAAGAGGCGAGAAGCGCATATATTCGTCGAGGAGTTGAATTCACACGCGATGCGCACACTCATTTTGTTATAAGTGTACATAACAGACAAGGGTGTCGCGTCGCTTGAAGGAACGATCTTCGATGCGAGTGCGTTAGATATACAACAAAGGATTGTTTCCGCTGCGCGTCGCAGAATCGAGGAGCAATATGATCTCTTCATCCGTGTGATCGCGCATTTTTTCAAGGAAGAGCTCGTTATTCGTCGCTGCAACGCCGGTGATACGATGCGTCGACGATTCCGACTGTTAATTCGTTATATTTATTCGTTAATCGGCGACGTTTCACTCGATCATTTTTAATAGGTATCGGAAATCATATGTCTCCTTTTTTTTCTATTTACAGCGAATTCGAGTGCACTAGTGTGCACTGGTGCACACTAACCCTTTGCGGTCGAATTGCGCTTAATAATGACTGTCCTACTGATCGCGTTATTAAAGATTGTCCTGCGAAAGACATGAAAAGATTTTGCTAAGAGATAAGAATACAAGTGAAATCTTGTGCGATCAGCCGCGAATGAGAAAAAGAGTACAGCTGATTGCCGTGTAAGAAAAATGCGCAGCGAGTCCAGTTTGTCACCGCAAAGGGTTAAATTATACTTAACTATAAATATACTGGGTCTGTCAAAAAGTTCGGTTCGATTTTTAGTATGTATCGCTAAAATTGTTTAATACAGGAAAAGCTGTTAAAAAATGTCTTTGCATTCTCAGCTGCAATTTTGATGCAAAATTAGTTTGTTTCGATTAAAAAATGAGCGTCGAAAAGCTGCATTTGCGTCGCATTATGTTCAAGTTTCGAGAAAATTCGAATGTTTCTGCCTGAAAGCTTTGTAAAGTGTACAGAGAGCCGCTGTAACTTCCAAAACAGTTAGAAAATGGTTTTGCAAAGTTTCGACGCGGTGATTTTGATCTCAATGACATGGACGCTCCACGGAAATGGATGATGACGCAATTTACTCGAAGCGAACTCGCGAATTTTGAAAGGTCAACGAAATTATTTCATTGATTAGCGATAAAGCGATGTGTTTATTAATAAAGCGATTGAATTTCCTTGAAAAATCGAACCGAACTGTTCGACGGACCCAGTACATAATGTATGCGAGCAAATTGGACGCACTGAACATTTTGGGGGGGGGGGGGGTGTTCGGTATAAGTTTTCCTTTTACCCAGATTTGTTTTTAGCAGAACGCATGTCGGACACTATGGGCATTACGTTACGTCATGTTATTACGATTAGAAACGTGTACAACGGACGATGCACCAGCGCGCACTGGTGCTTTCAAATGAGTTCAGCAATCCGGTTCTATCTGTCCTTTTCCGCAAGGTCGCCGTTTAGGCTGTTGTCGCCGCATCCTAATTAATACCAATGAAAGAAGAAAGTATCGTGATATCGAAATCCATGCAAATGTAACGCACCGTCTTTTATTTCGTACAGCAGTTCGTATGCAAAAGTGCTTCCTTTTACTTTCATCAGTGTCCTCGAATTGTGCAGGATTTTATTTTTAAGCAATATACTTCTCGTTGATGCATGGGTATATTATACATCAACACTCTCAGTCGTGAGAAGAGTGGTGATAAGAGTAAACGCTGCAAGAGCGAATGACGTTGTTACCCGATTATATTTGTTAATAATAAAAAAATTAAAATACAGCGATTGTTGATGAAATTGCTGCGATTGTAATAATCGACTTCGAGTTTTACGATTATAGTCCTAAGACGATTATGTGAGAATTGAGAATGTTACCGTGCTGTTAATGTTAATTTTCGTTCACTTCGTCCGCTCTACGAATTTATCCGCGGTTCGATCGATGAGCGATACCGCGATCAATAATCTTAGCGAGTAGTGTGAGAGAGAGAGAGAGAGAAAGAAAGAGAGTAGTCACGGTGTCTCGCCGAAGAAAATAGTGCTGATTATTTTATTGCAGCCCTCGTCGATTCTCAAGCGAGAGTTCAGGCCTGAAGAGAGTACTAGCAAATTTTTTTGTAGCAAGAGTAGGAAAAAAAAGCGAACGATCGAACGATCGTTAACGAAATGTTGTATCGTCATATCGTGTGATCTCTGTCGTCCCGACAGACTCATTTTCACGTCGCAATAATAATCATTTATAGCGAATAAGTACAACGCGCTTGTTAGCCACATTGTACTATAAAAGAGGAATAGTGATTAATCATAAGGTCTATTATACAAATAAAAGTTACAAACTTGGTTTACGTATATCATCTTGTTACTTTCAACATGTTGAATGAAATATACATTGTTTTACATACGTATCACAGCGTCAAGTTTGGTTTAAGAGCTATCGAAACTTTTCGCGTCTTCGCCAATCGACAAATCTTTCTCCGACTGAGATCGTTCGATTGCAGTACCGCCGCTTCCGCCGGGAGCGTTCCTCGTCCTTTTCCTCCTTTTCTTCACAGGCTTCGACGAACTATCGCCAATTTTTTCTCTCACTTCCAATTTGTTTATCAAGTACTGTCGCAGCGATTGTAACGCTTCCAGACCGCCGCTTCCATTCTCAAACAGCATCCATATTCTGAACACGTCCTGCACAAGTGTCTCTTCGTCGCATTCGGGACTTTCGATCTGCACGCAGAGTTTGCAAACAAGCAGGGGAACACGTTTCTCAGGTATTTTCTTAGCAAAATTTTTTTCATTCGAACTGCTTGTATCATTTCTGACTTGAACTGTCGATGATGATGGCTCGTCTGAAGGATTCTTATTCACTTGTTCATTGTTGTCATCTTCTTTCGTGACTGTGCTTGAAATCTCTTGAATTGCATTCGTTTTAATACACTCGTCACTTTCATTTTTTAACCTTTTCAATGCAGTTTCTCGCTGTGCTAGACGCCGTTTCCTGCGCGAGTGCTCCCATGACTTTTCTCCAGCAATTATTCGACACATCCAGCCGTCAAAATTGTCCTCATTAACGGGAACGTCTTGTAATTTAATCTGTAATAACAAACAAATAGATGATTACATAAATTTTTAATTAAAAATAATTAACAAATAGTAATTTAATACTAAAAGTAAGGACGTTAATGTATTACATTGATTTCTTCCGCCGTTGTTTTTAGGAAACCAATTAAATCGTCCATGCGGAGAAATTTCTCTTTCACAGGAACCGTTATCGAGGTTTTATAATTCTTCTTCAAGATCTGCGTCATAGATTTTCCGCTCTTTCTAATAACAGGTGCAGTGCTCAAGTCCACGATGCTTTTCGGTAGGAAACTCCAAGCTAAACCCCATCTATTGATAAACGCAGCTATAATCTCTAAAGACTTTATTTATTAATTTAATCATTTATTAAACATTAACTAATGACAATTTATATTACTAGTTTACTAGTTAATTACGCTATTAATTTGCTGCAACAAATTTTAAAATATCAATTTATTTACCGTGTCGTGTAACCTTGGCAAAATTCTGTCCACGTTACGTTTTCTATGTTCCTCGACTTTATCAGCTTTTTGATATGAAACAAATCGGCTTTTTTACCGATCATTGTACTGTAGATCTTTATTTGATCTCCCAGTTCGATACTTTCGTCAATCATTTTTGTCACGAAGGCCACTTCGCCGCCCTCGGTTTTCAGCTCACTGTCATTTCCGGTGGGCGCATTTCTCGGTGGCAGGGCCTTAGCAGTCTTTTCCCCGTCATCTTTGTTCTCGAAAAACGGCGGGTTGCACATCGAGAAGTCATAAACTTTCTCGTTCTCTATCGTGTCCTTAAAAATTCTATCGGAGTTCACTGTAATTACTAAATCGGAAAATCTCACGTGGAATTAAATTTTCCAACTTTAGTTCTAAACGATCCTTCAACTGTTATGAAAGTTACTAACAAATCTTACCTTTAATTAAATCTTGCAAGTTGTTTCTTCTTATGCATTTCTCTGCATAATCCGTGCTCTCTTGATCCACTTCTGTGCCAAGCACACGACATCCATAGATTTTTGCCAGCAATAGAGCATATATGCAAATCGCTCCTGTTCCTGTTGAAAACAAATCTTTTTCAAGCAAATGTTTCCCAAGTAATCTATATATTTATCTATAATTTACATATCTGGCAACCCACACACTAAACATTTAAGTAAATTGCAAGATGAGCAGTAGCAAAATATCATTATTACAAGCAAATTCTCTAAACTCTTTTCAAACTCCTAACTTTTCATCTTCGATAAGAAATCTTTATGACTGCTGTGATTAGTGTTCTAATTATTCTATATTCATTAATTTTTAAGACACAACTTTTGTTCTTTGCGATAAATTCCACACAAAAATGATCTGCTCAATACATGTAAAAGCGAAGCGCGTTAATTGATGTTGGAAAAGCTATTTTAACTGTATTCTTAATTGTTAGTCGAATAAACTTCTTGTTTCTCTTGTTATTTGAATTAATCGTCAGAAGTATTTTATTACTAACACGCCTTATAAGAATTAAAAGGATCAAGTAGCTTACAGATGTTTTTAAAGATGCAATCATAGCTCACCAATGTCGACACCCATGACTTTATTCATTTCCAACTTGGAGTGTCTCATCAAATCCTCGATCCACAGAATGTAATTCATGCGCAAAGTAATCGCCGGATTTAGTTTGTTCGACGGTATGCTCACGTGAAGATCGAAGTCATGTTTCAGAAGTGTTTCTGTAAGCACGCGTAGACTCTTCTGATTTTGGAAGTCAATCCTGACTTTTCCTGTGAAATCCTGAGTGCCAACATGGATGGAATAACATAAAAAAGATATCATCATTATTGTAAAAATTAAATTGTAGAAAATTGTAAAAAATAAAGCATGAAAAAATGCACATAATCGTATAGAATGCATAGTTCTTTATATTTACAGAATTTCTAACCTAAACCACACATTATGTATACAAGACTGCACTATTTTGTAGATTAGAGAAAATATTACAATACCATAATTGCAACTTCGCGAAATTCTGGATACATGATTGCGAGTTGCTTGTAATTCGGCGGCTTCTTGTATTTGTTTCTTGGGTGAATATACTTCTTCACGTTCATTTTGATCTCAACAGAGATCAATACGGATTGATGTCAGACGACACACCGCAGACTTCTGTCACGAATAATCATGGAGCTTGATTGGTCAATTTTAAAAACTGTTGCTTGGATTGAAAAATCGTAAAAAACTTTCCTATTTCGTTTTTTGAGAACTTTCATGTTGTAATATCTTGATTTGGGAATTACGAGACACCATGTATAGAATAAAATTTTTATAATTTGCGCACGTGTTTTCAGATATGCCTTAGAAACAACTCTACATCCACAAGATAACATGTGTAAACATCGTCGAAATATTTTTGTTTACATTACAATGATAGATTCGACATTTGAATTGCTTGGACATAACATAAAAGAACTCAGGTCAAGAGATTCAACGTACAGAAGTTGAGTTAGGAGCAACTCTTATGTAGAGGACTTGCAGATACAAGAATAGCGTTAATTGAATGTACAACGTATAGCGCGTATAACAAGATTACTGCGAAATGAATTTGACTATTATCCCTTATTTTCTAGGTGAGTACAATTACTGAATTTACTCGCGTCAGTTAATATTTATCGCGCATAAAATCATGTAACTATTATATGCTATATTATATGCTTTAACAAAATAATCCAAGTTAAAAATATTTAGCGAAAACAACATTAATGAATTTATCTACTTTTTTTCGAAAATGCAGCATCCACTTGCATTCGTATCTTTTTTTCCTATTTTAGGACGATGAAATATCTGAATTAAAACAGTGTTTTTATTGAAAAAGAAATCAAGATTCCCTTAATTTAGACGAATCGTATACAAATCCAATTATAAAGATTAATGTTATATATTGATGGATATAATATTTTAATATTACAACTGATTGAACTTTCTATTTGTTTAGCGGCCACAATCGTTGATGACATGTCTTGGCCCTTGGGTCCAGAATACATATTTGAGGTAAAAAAGACCACGTTGTCATACAGGAAACCACTTACAACAGTAGAGATGACCTGTAAACTACTATGTCAACATAGAATACCGGACAGCCTAATCTGTTCTATGCCAGACATTCAATTTCAAACGATGATAACGTATGCGAATTCCACCAAGTACATTTCACCCGTCGAGTTGATCGATGTACCGCATTTATTCGAAATGAAGTTTAACGAGCACGGTGTGCGGAGTGTGTTGATGAAGCCTAGCACTTACCTAAATGCTGTAGGTATCATCAGACAGATCGCTGAAGTGTTCAATGTGAGCACCGATCTGTACAGCAGAAGAGCCACGTACGGACCGTCACAGTTGCAGGGTAATTTTTTCCTGATCGACGACTTCTTCAACTGGGAACAGACATTAAGAGGCAACTGCAACACTTACAACAGGGTCATGCATGATGATGATTATGAAGGGACAGTTGAAGAATCCAAGTTTTACCTCACCGTGGTGCCGTTAGCCGATTATTTAGCCAAGTGGAAAACCTGGGCGCCTGTTTTAATTGAGAAGTCTAGGGAAGATTGCATTTTTTCAGACCGATACGTGGAGTTACTAAACCAGATGAAAGTGGTACGTATTCTCCTCTTTCGTTCTTATAAAAATGAGAGAAAGTAATGATAAAATTGCAGCAGTTATGCCGATAAAATAAATATATATTCACTATTTTTTAGTGTAATAATATGTGGTTTCAACTTTCGTATCAAAACTTACTTATCTACGATTATTCTTACAGACGAACTATGCCAGTGCAATGAAGGTCATGCAGCAGCGGTTTGAAAGTACCGTCGAAATAGTTGTAAGTCTCATACCTAATCTATGGGAGTCTGAAGAAAGTCGTGTGTTTAGCGAAAAAGTTAATCTTTCACTAATCGAAGTGATACCCGCACTACAGACGTTGCCAGTTGTTACGAAAGGCGAATGGCTCACTCTAGATAAACTACTTTAGAGATACCAGACAACGATAAGAGACCAAAGACTAAAAAAAGACAAAGCATATAAATAGATTTTAACTAACTATGATAATTGCTCAAGTTAGATACATAAAACGATAAAAAGATATTATTAATGTAAAGTACAACATAAATAATATAAAAACATTACAGAGAGAGATGTTTTAATAAAAAATAGTCTTTATTATTTATTTATCAAATTTTATGACAAAATATGAATAACACAACGATTGATCAGTACATTTAAGCACTGATCAACAGTAGTTTATTACGAAGTGATTCCGGCATCACTCACAGTCACGTTACAAAACGAATGTTCATCCAATCTCAGATCCTTCCAAACCGAGATTCTCCGGATTTCACCGTGCCGTCTTGTTAACAGCAATCTCGTGGCTGGTATCCTCATCCAGTATTTTCCCAAAGCTGGTTTTACGGCGGCTAAATCCGTTTGCTCGGGAGAATTCCATCGAGTGATCGAGTTTACCGTAATCACCGTTGCACGGCACTCTGTTGTGAGAAACCGACATGCTTCGGCAAAATCATCGAGCTCGTATATTGTCTCGTGACCAACTTGGTGCGTGTCTCGCGTTACCTTGAATGATAAATAGATTGTTAGAAAATGAGCGCTCTCACATAAGAAAACTTAAATTCATAAAATATATTAATTTGTGACTTTACAAACATACGTACGAGTGCAGGAATGCAGAATATTAATAATAAAGCAATCATTATATATATTAGCAAAGACATAGTATTATTTTTAAACGTTATGTTAATTACAGCATGTCTAAAAAGAACGTTTCTCTTAAAATGTTAACAAAAAAATGCCATTCCTTTTAGACGTACTGTACTTATATCAATTATATGCTGTGGACGTGTGTGTTGATATACGAATATTCTATTAAGAAATGGAAATGAATATACTAATAAAATAGAACCGACAATATTCGAGGAGTTGTATGAATCGTCAATAGAAATCTATCTATTGGCACCTTGAAAATCACTGCCGGCAAAGAGTCGATAATTACAAGAAGCTTCCTTTTTTCAGAAGACTCGTCATCCTCCCCATTTTTGCACACAATTCGCAATTGTCGCAGGGCTCGTATTAATTCATCAGAAGAATGCACATAACAGACTTTTGTACGTTGCATTGCGTCTTTTATATTCTGAAAGAAAAGAAATATAGTTTGTCTAATATTCAGCAGTAAAAAATAAAATCCTGAAATATTGTTTGCATAATGTAATATGAAATAAGTCAATGTATCAAGTATTTTAAAAGCAATAAATATAAAGCTTTTATCTTACAGAAATTTACTATTTCTTTCTTTTTAAATTATTTTCTCTAATTATACAGCTATAATTGTGAGATACATGTGCATAAGTGTTCAATCTAAATTTGCATAAGTATCTATTTAATATTTGACTATCAACTCGATTTGCTAGCGAGTGTCAATATCATTAAACATTTAACATTACCACTTTTTGCTTAAAGTTTCTCGCTTTCAGAATCTCTTCATATCGCAAGCTGGAAAAGTCTCTCTTTGAGTCAAAGTACCATACAACGACATCTGACTGAATAACAGCATTGGCAGCTATTGTCAAACATAATTGAGTCTTTCCAGAAGATGACAACCCACACAGCTCATACAATTGTCCAGAACACAGGCCACCTTTCAGCAATTTATCCAAACTGTGCAAAACTCAGACATTTGATACTAGAAAATAAACCTTTACCTGAGCAATTATTATTCTTCTAAAGTGGTTTTCTCATTATTTAGGCATTAAGTATTTGTGTTCATCAAAATCAATTCCATAAAACACTGATTTGTCTCAAACATACCATGTTATATTGGTCGAAATTAGATGGCTGCGCTCTATTGCAAGAAGATCAGTCGCATTTCTTTCTATACCGCTAAATTTTTTCAATATGTCCTGTTTTATTTGTAATATATCCTGCAAATGTAAATATATTAAATTTGTGAGTGAGTGAAGTAACAATGTTCTATTAATTTGTTTTATTTTACCAATATTTGTACTGAATACATACCTTATAAGTAAGATCAGTAAAATTCATCAATGAAATTGGATTTGCAGTGACAAAATCCACAATTGTAATCACATTTCTCCGTCGTAAATTCTCTATAACCATCTCGGACAAACTAGGATGAACACTTGCATTCAATTTAGTCATCTTTGGTGATATCAAATACCTGAAAAGCAAAGTCATTATTTGACAAAGTTTATGAAGAATCATATTAAAGACAAGACGAATAAATATGAATAAGTTAAATTAAAATTTGTGTATAAAATAATACAGATCTTTCTGTTTACTTAGATAAATGTATGCCATCTAAATATTAATATAATTCTAATAATTTGACATTCGTAAGCTTCCAATATGTGTAAGAATAAATATTGCTTATACAATAAATTAATTAATTTTTAATTATTTAATTTCAGACGTAATATTTACCTCAAATGCGAGAATGGCGAGAACGAGTTATGACTTTAGTGTGTTCTAAAACAGCATCAAGTAAAAAGTTGCAATCTTTTTGCCACACTTGAAGGTACATTCACAAACTTGCATACGTGTTAATTAGTAAATTGACCAATCATATTTCTACTACAACTTCACGTAAGACATGTGATTGGTCCATTCCTGAAACATCGCCATACATATTCATGCAGATTCGTCTGAACATACTTTTAACAACGCCATGTTTTCATTGCGCGTATTTTAAAAAGTGTTATCGCGCATACTACGTGATTCAAGCCATTTCCCAGCGATATTTAGTGTCTCTGCCGCATTAATCGAAGAGTCGCGCTGGTGCGCGCGGTAGTGTTCGGCAGCGGTGTCGGTCATTTCGACGAATGTTCCAGATGCATGTAGTTCGTCCGTCTTTACAACGGTTCTCAACGGTGACCTAAGCTCATCGCGTTCTTCCTCTGTCCTGAGGAAATACCGGGCTCAGTGTCGAGATGGCAATTGTAATCGCGGCGGCAGTTTCCACATGCAAAAATGCCGCTCGGCGGCGGCACGCGTTCTCCCGTGAAAGACACACGTGCGCAGATTCAGCGATCGAACGGCACTACCGCACCGCTCGGCATCGACAACACGAAGCCTCGAGTCGAGCAGTACTGACGATTGTGGAGTGAAAAAAAGATCGATGCACGTAAGTTGATACAATAATATTACACAGTTCGATTACCATGAAACGAAACTTGCGGGCCACGTGGTTAGTGCTTGAGATTAAATCGTCGATACTTTTTAGCTTTATTTTCTGCGTGCTCTTGTATTTGCTTTTTCTGTCTAAATATTTTATTTGGAGTACGGAAGGTATGAGTAAACAAAATTTTTTTCTATTTACGCTCTGCAGCGCTTTTTATACTTTCTACACTTTAGAATATAAAATAAGTATATATTCAGAATTTGAAGACGCGAAAAAATAAATTAGAAAATGCAAGCAAAAGAATAAACTTTATTTTAACCGTTTTTTTTATATTTTTGCATAAACAATTTTTTTTTTTATATATTTGAGTGCCTGTAAACTGTTACAATTGTAGTTAACCAAATCTTAACCAATTTTTCTTACGCAAACGGTGCTGCAAATGAGGCTTAAAACAATTTATTTCAAGTGCAAAAAGTGTAACGTAATAAGTAAGGAAAGAAATAATCCGAGCGCCGGAAGTGTCCGTCGCAAGACAACGGTTGCTGATTTGATTCAGTATTCCCTTAGTTCGGCCTCGGCCCGGCCAAAGCGCGACCAGTAGAATTCGAGACGACGTACGAGCGGGTCGGCCAATAACGTGCGATCGTCGATGCCACGTCGTTCGCGCAGCGGTTACGCTCGGCCAATAGGAGAGACGCGCGACGCCATCTGTCCAGAACTGGCACAAGCGCGAGATTGCTAGCTCGTTTCGGTCGCGGCCGAAATTTGTCTCGCAGCCGTAGCCATGTTTAGAAGTGTGTACGCGTCCTTGGGCGTGCGGTGTGATAATGTATCGTAAAATGTTAGATATAGCTCATGCGTCGTATGTTACGTGAGGTACCCAATTGCGAGTCGACGCACGCGGACCACGGGCGTGACGATTATTCCCATGGATGGTGCACCATCATCGCGGAAAATTGTGATTACACGATGGTAAGTCCGGAACAGCCTCGGAGCTAACGCCAACATGGCGGACGGGAGATTTCCTTTGTATCACGCCGCGCCGCGTCTTCCCCACCCGTCGACGCCGAGCGTCGTCGGCGAGGCTGCCTCCTCGCGTGCGCGCGCGCGTTCCTCTCCACACCGCCGGTTTCTCGTCGTGTCTCGCGTGTCCCGAATATTTCGTCACCGGCGCCCACCGCGATATTAATCGCCTTCGATTCCTCGACACGCGCATTCGTGCGACGTTCACACGGATAGCTGTCGGGACGTCAGGCTGCCAACCTGGTTTACCGGTGCGGGATCTCGCGACTCTCGCGATGACATCGCTTCTTTCCTGGTATTCGCCGATCCCCGACTCCCCCTCGTCACTTCCGACTCTGAATTTCGCGTATGTATACGTCGTGTTCTGCGCAATACCTGGCTTTTTTTTCGCGAATCGACAGCGAGATTGTGCACAGTCTTCTCTGAATTCGCCGCTCTTCCCCCTCGATTTACGTTCGCGATCAATGTCCTTTTCTTCGTTGAGCAAATACTCTCGCCTGTGAATTCTTAGTATTAGCATTCCTTCTCTTTTTTTCTTTTTTTAAACGTATTTGTTTAGAACATTTCTGTGCTTATTTTTGTTAATTTCCTTGATAATTTGCAATTTAATAATGATTGCAAGTATTTTGTGGATTTTTTAAACAGTGTTCAAAATTTGTACCAAGTAAACTAAAGATCTGCAAATTTGTTAAAACATTTTTGCTGAGATTATTTTTCAACATGTTTATTCACTCAGCATATTTTGCTAGCAAACATGATACTTTTGTATTTTTGTTGTTTTCTTTAGTCAGAACAATTCAATAATGTTATTGTAAATTTTATGCCGATATTCTGTGCATTATTTAAAGAAAATCAACAGTTTTGTTAAACTGAATATTCTGCTTTCTCTTTTGAACTCTATGCTGTGTTTTTATTGTTATAATTTTTCTTCTGACATATTTACTTGCTTATTTTAATTCTGTTATTTTTATTTGCAATTGTTTTTTATGATATTTTGCAACAAGAATTCAAAATTCAATATTACTATAACAGTTTTTATCTAGTTAATAACTTATTGTTACTAGTGCCACTTTTATTGTATGTTTTAATTTAGTGATTTTTTAGCTTGGTCGATTTATTTATTATTTCAACAGTAAAAATACCAATTTATAAGAAAATATATAAAAAATCAATATATGCGCATAGATAAGTTGCTTCTTCATGAATACTTTTCAGTTGTTTTCTTAAATATATTTTTGTATTTACAAGTTAATGATCAGTATCTTTTATATCTACACTTTAGTTTTTTGATGTTTTTGCATTTTAAATTCTTCTATGTATTATGTCAAACAAGAGTAAAAAATATTTAGTATTAATATTTCATGCTTTACTTTGTGAATAATTTAAATGTTTGTGACAATATGACTCATTGTGATTTATTATACAATATAACTTGTTTTGTTTTTTTTTTCAGCATAACGTGCAATGAGTGATAAGCAAAGTGCATCTATTTTACCACCCCTTAGTCGGGGTGCGGCTAATAATGGCGGAAATAACGGAAGTACGGCTCAACAGACTGTTAGTCTGCAGCAAGTTTTCGCTACCGCTCAAGGCCTCAACATGCTTGCTACTAGCAGCAGGCAACAATTTGTTATTACGACTCAGGTTCCTGGCCTCACACAGGTCAGTATTTATACCGTACACATTCCTAGGACTGGAGCATATGTTTTAGAAAACTAGATGAGTTAATTTCTCTTAACAAATGAAGAACGACAAAGATTTTTTTCGTGAAATACAGAATATTATGCGATTGTTTAAAGTATTTTTATTGATTAATAATTAATTTTAATAATTAAAATATTACAATTTTATTGGCTCGAATTATTAAAATAAATCATTAAAAATAAGCTACAGAGCCAGAGCTAGATTATCATGCTCAATTTATTAATTATTATTCAGTTAATTAATATACGTTTCGACCATTGGATGTGGTCATTTCAGTACATATTATTCAATTAACATTTTCTTAAAAAATACAGTTGTTCAAATAACATTAAGCGCAGTCTTCTAGGAACATAAAACAGTAAAACATCAATTAAAATCGTTACGTTTTAAAATTTTTTAGCTCTGGCTCTGTAGCTTATTTTTAATGATTTATTTTAATTAATTTTATTTGTTATTACTTTCTTATTCAATAATCATGTAATAATCATTCAATGCTTGCTCATTTTTATCTTAATTAATTAACAATTGTCTCTCATTTCGGTAATAGCTGGCAACACTTAAGCTTGTAAATTGTAATTATTAGTTCTATTTGCTAAGAATTATTTAATTATTCGATTATTTCATAATTATTAATTTATTTACACTTGACGCAATTGTATACCAAGGCCTGCACTGTTTTAACTAACACTCGCATAATTTTTATCTACAGGTCATATCGAACAACGCCACGACTAACGCAAATGGAGCGCAACAAGTCGGCGTTACGAGGATCGTCAACATTGCGGGCACACCGCCGCGTAACGCGGCGGGAGTGGTGGCCGGCGGTTCCGGCACATCGTCGCATTCGACATCGGCTGTATCGCGCCCACCAAATTCTACCAAAGTTGTGTTAGCGACGTCGCCAAAGCTCGTGCGCACCTCTATAGGTAATGTGTTCGTGGCGCCAATGTCGTCGTCATCATCATCTTCACAAGTATCATCGCCGCATCAAACGCAAGTGCAATCGCCGTCGCCGCCAGCGCGAAAGCGGTTAAAACTGTCGGAAACGACGGAGAAATCGACCGCCTTCGACGTCGGTGGCTACCGCCGGCGGATAATGGAATACAAAATGCGGCGGATGCGCGCCATGCGCGACAAGTACGCCGAGAACGCGTCGGAATTGTTCTTTCTACACGTGGGCGGTAACATGATGGACTATCAGAACTGGCGGAAGCGTCCGGCGACGTCGCAGTACGTAACCTTCCTGCGCCAGCACCCGCTCGACCCGGACGACGACGACGAGGACCTGACAGCGCCGTTGCCGTCGATGCCGGAGTTCTCGCAGCTGTCCGCCGTCACCACCGCTGCCGCTGTCACCACTGTTACCACCACCGCCGTAATTGCCACCGCCACCGTCACGACTACCGTTACGTCCGACTCCACGGTGGCCCAGAGCTCGGGTCAGAGCACAGAGGTTAAGATCTCCGGTGTAGGCGTCACGCCAGTGGCGGTGTCGACTTCCCTGCCCGCTGCGGCTCTAGCGCAGCTCAGTCAACAAGGTAAACACTGTCTAAATGAAGAAATGTGTTAATTCTTTGTTTCGATCGATATCGACAGTTTGTTCATCCCTTTTGGGAGAACTAATATATATTTGTCTCTCTTAAACTTTATTCCTGGTGTTATTGACTTCGATATGTTTGGAGTTTGGGTGTTGAATAATTTGAAAAGAGATTACGACTAAAATTGTTCTATGTATAACAGGCTTGGTTTCCTGTTGATTGATTTCTTTGACATTCTCTTTGTTACATTTTAAAATAATGTAATTATACGACAGAGCTACATTTCATTAAAATCATGTTTGGATAACATCGCATATTAGATCTCATGAGTTGTGAATGCGAATCGTACACTGAGAATGTTTTATTCATGGCAACACACACATATATCTTCCATACACAACTTTCCAATTTTTACCATCTGTACTTATCTGTATTTATGTTAGTCAACAAGAATGAATCATTGTCTTGTCAATTTTTTCTTTTTCTTCTGGGTTAACGTTACGCATAACAAGTAAATCATAATCCGGTTCACTGAACTGTTCTTCGAACAAAGAATGATTTGTAGAATTATATTAATGATCGAGATTTATTATAATCATGTTTCTATCTCAACTGCTTTCAATATTAGAATTTTTAGATCGATCAGTCTGATTTAAACAAAGCAATTATAATCTTTCAATGGTTTTGTTATATTTAATATTCTAAACAGCTTAACGTTACGAAAGCAGTTTTTGAAAGAGCAATAGAACATTTTTATTTTGCTCAACGACACGTATTTATGATAGATAAAAAATATTGTACATAATTTAAGAGCCGAGGAAGAATTCGGACTCGCGCCATCTTGAGAAAGTATCTTTTTAACATTTATTATTCACGAGAGGGTAAATGGCCTCTTGACGTCAGGCTTTTAGTTGTCTAAACTGAAATCCGGCTGTTGCATACCGAATAAATGATCATTTGCGCACTAGGACAAGTACCAGGTAGGCCTCAAGGGGGCCGTCATGGCATGGTGTTTGCCATCCGTGCGGCAATCCAGTCTTCAGTCACCGTTCACCCTCCATCCGCTTCTACTCTAGCACCCACGCTCATTATAGGTGATTACCGCAGGTCGCCTGCCCGTTTGTTTCTTCGTACTTTTAAGCCGCTCCGGATATCGGTTTCGCTTTCGAACAGTCCATTAGTTTACTCCAAAGTCTCTGAATTTTCTGTCGTCGAAAGCGATCGGTTATACATTTCGTATTGCATATGTCTTGGATTGTTCGAACGATGATCAGGAAGTGTTCGCCAAAAAGTTGCCTGCTATTGTCAAAGCTGCTCTATTCACGCTCGTGTAGAAGCTTGTATCTTTTCGTTGAGTATTGATGTATCAAAATGTCCCAGAATTGGCAGAAAGTGAGCAATTTTTGGTCAAATTTTCATGAGTTTACAATTCTCTTCACTGGAACACTTGGATATCTTGCAAAAATCCGTCTATTGTCTAAATTTACGAGTTCCAACCGAGCGTCCAGATATCTAAAGTCATGGTTTACGATTTTTACATTGATTTTGTGTTTAAATGCAATTACTTTACGCGAATTCTATAGAAAGAGCCAGACAAATGTAAATAGCATAGAAGACTCTGGCGATCAGCCTGATCATTAACAAATGCAAACGCATGTTTCTATTTGAAGCTTGGTAAGAGCAATATACATCTATTCCTCCGTCATTTCTACGTTTACACACACATATGCGCGCCATTCTCTCACATGCAAATAGAAACGATTAGTTCACTTTATTTTAATTGGCCTATTTCTCTAGGAGACTGTGTTTTCGTTTCTCGCTTTGTTATTGCCGACCTTGTAGATACACGTCGTCTTAACTTTTTGCTTGTCTTGTGGAATTCGTGTTGTCGCAGGTTTTGTCATTCGTCTGTTTTCCGTTCACCCGCGTGAGATGTATAATTTCAGTCTCGACGGCGATCGTGCCGTTGTAATCGTTGCTTTTCAGCGAGAAATGAAATACATCTCGTGCGAGTAAATATGTAAAAAGGTAACAGTGTGTGATGTAATGGAGGGCTAATTTGTAAATGATATTTGCCGAAGTCTTTCCATTTCTGATGAGATTTTGAACGAACAATAGAGCGCTAACAGATTAAAATCGTTTATTTTAGAGAGTCAACGAAACTCACTTTTCTTAGTTGAATTGTTTATCGATGTACTCGTTATGATCGCATCCGATTCTTTAATTTTGTGATTTGTTTTGTATTTATTATTATAACGTTTCTCAAAACGGGACTATCGTTTCAGGTGGAACGTCCGTTGCTGACGCGTCGAAACCGACGGCCGCGGTTGCAAGCCCGATAATAGATAAACCATCGTCGTCGACGACCACCGCCGCCGCCACCACTCCGAAAATGCCTACGGCAACAAGCGTGCTCAACAACCCCCAACCTATAGTTAAGCTCGTTAAGTTGTCTACTACCCCTTCTACCGTAGTTACTTCCTGTGATATTACGAACAATCAGGAGCAAATTGTGGAAAAAGCTAAGCAGGTAATTATCGTTTACGATTGTTTTTCAGTAGCGTCCTTTTTTTGCCATACAAAAGGAGTGCAGCAACCGTGCGAGCGTTTTAAATTCTTTATTGTCTTAAATTAAACATCTTGAAAAAATTAATTATTAACGCGTTCTCTTGCAAGGATTTGACATTTGAATTTCACGCTAAATTGTCGCGATTGTCCGGTTGCAGGAGGCGTATGTGATGCAGAGGATCGCCGAGTTGCAACGCGAGGGCTTGTGGTCGGAACGGCGATTGCCGAAAGTGCAAGAGCCGGCTCGAACCAAGGCCCACTGGGACTATCTGCTGGAAGAAATGGTCTGGTTAGCCGCTGACTTCGCCCAGGAACGTAAATGGAAGAAGGCCGCGGCCAAGAAGTGCGCGCGAATGGTGCAAAAGTACTTCCAGGAGAAAGCGATTCAGGCGCAGAAGGCCGAGAAGTCGCAGGAGCTGCGGTTGAAGAAGATCGCGAGCTTCGTCGCCAAGGAGATCAAGACCTTCTGGGCGAATGTCGAGAAGGTGAGTGAAAAATGTGCGATTGTAAAGCAAATCGACGAGCTGATCGATTCATATTCGTCAGCCTGTATTTAAAAAGAATCTTGAAATATTTTTTACCCCACGCTAATTAAGCCGACCTTCTCGATGCATTATTATCGGAAGCGTGTGCTCATTGTGGGAACAGCAAAGTCTGCGCATTGTGTATAGTTGCTTGATTTTCTAAATTCAACTAAAGAATTAGCGCAGGACACTTGTTCGACGGTGTAAAAAGAAATCCGAATGTCTTAGGAAGACATTGAGAGATTTCTTATCAAAAGTTCTCATTAAGGGGAACCTAAAGTGGTCTGTTTTACCTATTTTTTTTCAAATACACTTCACTTTTTTTTGGCTGTGTAGAATACAGATACGTCTCTGTTTTACCTTCTATTTTTCGTAACATTCGTTTTTTTTGGCTGCGTGGCTTAAAAAATCCTTTCAAATCAACCATCCGTAGTGTAATTAGCATATGTACTTTACTTACAGAAAAGGACTTTTCATTCTACACAGCCAAAAAAAAGTTAAGTGTATTTGAAAAAAATAGGTAAAACAGACCACTTTAGGATCCCCTTAACGATAACAATAATTGAGTATAACTCGTGGACGTTTTAAAGAAACAATTGAATTTTACGCACGTAGAGGATGAATATGTCGCCATTTGTTAACAGTTGGTGGAGTATAAGCAACAAACGAGACTGGAAGAGAAGCGAAAGAAAGCGTTGGATCAACATTTAAATTTCATTGTGGGACAAACGGAAAAGTACTCCACGTGGCTGACAGAGGGTCTCAATAAGACCGACGGTCCCCAGAGTATTCCAGCTTCCATGAACAGTTCGCGGATCTCGTCGCCAATTCCACAAGGAAAATGTCATTCCGATGGTACGTTTAACTCGCTTCGTTGAGTATAAATTTGGAAACAGATTGTAAATTATTCTTGAAGTGCCGTAGCGGATTGCGATAAATTATTTAATCGTGTTTAATTATATCACGTGGATTATTTTACGTTACAATTGCATTTAGCTTATTAATTTACTATTTTTTTTATTGCTATTTTAATTACTTTGGATTGTACAATGTACACGTTTTGCATTACAGAGGAATTCCAACCAAACCAGAGTTCCGACGACGACGAGGAAACAATAGCTAAAGCCGAAGAGGAAATGAAGACAACAAATCACAAAGAGGAAGTGGAATTGTTGAAGAGAGAGTCGGAAATACCTTTGGAGGATCTTCTGAAGGACTTGCCGCCGAATTATTTAGAGGATCGCAACAAAAGCTTGTCCCCGCAAAACGAAATGATCGAAGAGGAGCAAAATGTACGTTTGCAAATATATTGCACACCTTATTTCTTACAATATCCTGCACAGAAAGAAATTACTGTTTGCAAAGCATTTTATTCAATGTTAATGTAAATGAAATTATTGCATTTCTGATAGAGACATCATTTTTTCTGTCGTGTATTTTAATTATTTCAGGAAAGATTAAATGCTTTCTAAATTTTAGTTGTGTTTCAATTGGTCAGAATTCAAATTTTCAGGAATCATTATTATTTGGTTTATCGTTAAAAATTGAAGCAATATTATGATTCTCATTGCAGGAAAATGAGGCAACTGATGCGGATGCAGACTTTGTCGCAGAATCTGGCGAATCCTCAGACGAAGAGGAGACGATTATGGAAGAAGAAAGACTGGAAGGAGAGATCGATCATAAACGGGAACTCGATGAACTCAAGGTATGTTATTTCAACATCGAGAGATAAACGATTGCAAATTACAGACTTAAATAAAAATATGTTTCTGTTTGTTCAGGCTGACAACGAAATGTCCATCGATGAACTTGCGGCTAAATATGCAAATATGTCGGACATGCTGATAGACATGGATGCAGAGGCTGAAGGTAAGTTTCTAGCATTAATACAGCTAATTAGCAGTTTTTCAATAATCATTGATCGATTAATGATGAACTGAAGATAAAGTATAACGTTAAGAAAGTAAAAATTGAAATAAATACAAAAAGAAATGGTCTCAAAATTTTTCTATTTAGACTTTTTATTTGTATGTTATAATTAGGTTTATTATAATTATTTCTTACTATATTTTGTACACTTTATACTTCTTTTCTTTCCATTTTTTTTTCTTTGATCAATTTTCAGTGACGATACCATTACCAATTCTGACGGTATGAGATATTGGTTTTCATTTATCTCAATTACCATCTGTGCTGCGAAATGAGGCATTTGTCTGAGAAACTTCTAGATATTTTATTGTATTATTGCTGAAAGAATGAGCTGTGAGCCGACTGAATAAAGTTGTTTCTTATTTTTACTCAGGTACCGATAAGGAGAACAGTGACAAGGAGGCTGCGCAAGAGACCGAGGACCAAACGAGCAGCAGCGAGAACGAGGAAAGCGATCGCGAGAGTGACAAGGAAGAGACTCAGATTCAGAGCGATGCGGAAGCGGACGTAGGACTTCAATCTCTTCTCGAAGATCCGTCGGAAAAGCAAGGAAAATCAGACAGCAGAGTAAGTTATGAAAATATAATTCAAATTGCTACAATTCTAATTATCGATATAAACAATAATTTTTTAACAAATTTTCATATTGTAACAACACACACACACACATACAAAGTGCGATATAATTTATATTTTATGCAATAAAATCAAAATAAATGACATCTCTCTTTTGTATAATAAAAAATTACATTTATTTCGTAACGAAAACTATTTAACTTAATTCCAGTGTAACAGCTCTAAAAATAAGTGATTTTTATGAATTTTTTTAAAGAAAACTATATTAATAATATCCGAGTATATTTTTTCGAGATATAAAAAGTCATTTTTAGAGTACAAAAAAATTTTGGTTTTTTTTTTTTTTCAATTTTTATTATTTACGGAATATCATAATGTTAACCACTTCTGGCGGTGCACCCGCTACTGGCGTACAATGTAACACTTGTTACAGTCATCTGAAAGTGAAAAATCAAAAATATTTTTGAAGTTAGATAATTTACACTGAATCTATTTAAAACAAAAAAATTGAAAAGTTGTAGCGTTTGTAAAAAAACATGCTTCTTTCGACAAGAAAATTAATGTTTTATTGTTTAACAAAAATGTTATAAATAAGCAATAAAATTAGAATGATGGGTTCAATATTTGGAGAAGTTTATATGCGAAATTGATCGGTCGATTAGTTTTGAAGTTATTCTGTACGCCAATTTGAAAGAAATGATTTCGAAAGGCGTTTGATGAAATTTTACGATACTTACAGTTTAAAAGTCAATCCGAACATTTAATCTGCCATTCCGGGACCATAAGCAATGCCTTCCTCTTCCTCGAGGTCCTGCTGAATAGTTCCTTTCATTTTACGGGCCGCACGAGCCTCTCGAGGCCTCTCTGAACTACGATGCTCCGCTCTCAGTAACCGTTTCTCGTTGTACGAATCAACGAATATTTTACACTGCTGTCCGATTACAATGCCCATTGTTTCCATAATTTTCAATACGGGATAATAACCTTCATTAAATATCGCTGCAGCCAGACGAGCGGCAATTTCAATTGTCTGCGAGTCACAAGGAAGATGTTTCGGAGCCAGACGCCAGACGGTCGCGTTGAAACTTTCGGTGGCATTCCGCGCGCATCTTTCTAGCAAGTCGTCTCTGGCCAGATCTTCGTAAATCGGTAACAGGTGGTCTTGAACCTCTTTGGAAACAGCTGGCTGATGTTCAAACTCGTCGAGTCTCCCGGTCACCCTTGCAACTTGCCACTTGCACCAGCTTTCAGCTCCCGACGGGCAGTACTGATGCTGCGGATTTTCATCAGTCGAACACGCGTGATGATAAATGGCCATTATGGCCCTCTTCATTTCGCTCGCGGAATCCGGATGTCTTCCCATCGCCAGGCCGTAATATTTCGTCAGCTTCCTGACGAGCGCGTCCGTCAATTCTCCCTCCCCTCCAAGTTTCGCCGCTGCTTGAACATTTCTTAATCGAGCGCCCATCCTCTTCGCGCATTCGACGCATTCACTTTTCTTTAATGTCGCGTGCTCGCCGTAAGGTTGCAAGTCCAGAAGTGCTTCTAAAGTTTCCAAGTCACCGATGTAATCGGTGTACTTCACGCCGAACTGTTCCTCCGATCTTGAAAACATTTCTTTCGTCGAGTCGACTTTGATTTTCCCCGCCGATCCGGAACGATTAACGGCGCACGTTTCTTCGTGACCTTCGAACCACTCGAAATATTCAGGAGTGCCCTCTTTGTTTCTCCAAAAGTGGCAGGATTGGCAATGGCTGCTTCTTACGACGAGGTCGATTATCTTTCCGGTGTTTTGTCCCGTGAGCGTCGTTACGCCAAATAACGACGAGAAGCCGTACGCTTTCCAAGTCCCGTCGCCGGAAACGACGAAATTCAGCGATGGCTTTTCTTTTCGCGAATTCAGTTCCTTTTCTTCTTCCACGGCTTTGCGAGACAACATGTGGAAGACTGCGCTCGTTGAAGTGTGCATGTTTTTCACGGCGGCGTAATATGTGGTATTGTTTAAACCTTGACATATATCCATGAGACCGCAAAAGAGATCGATGCCTTCTTTGCAGATTCCCAACAGTCTCATAACGAATGTGATTCTTCGATTAATTTCGAAGGCATTGTTTACGGAAGGACTCGAAGAAATTTTTCTGACGCCGCACGAGCACGTGACGGCGATTTTGAAGCCCAATCCGCGATTTCCCGTCTCGCCCAAACTTATACTTTCCTTACACTCTTTACAAATTAACATTTGCGAAAGAGCGCTGAAGACGGTGAAAATTTCAATAAATCGATAGCCGTGGGTTTGGCTTACAATGAAATCGTCGTCTGTGGAGTTCAATTTTTTTGCCGCAGAACTCGTTGCTTCGGTTTCCGCCTCAAGAGAATATCGATTTCCGGGAGAGTTTCTCTTTCGCAGGCTTGATGGATGGAGACTTTCATATTTGCTTCTTTTGCGAGGCATGTTTAACGTCTGCACGGGCCAAAATGCGAAGTAATACTGAGAAAGGTCGATGCGAACCTATTTCACGCACATAAATAGAAAACTAGAAGAAAGTTTTAGAGGGTTTCCGAACACAACAAAAGACCGACCCTAAAAACCGTTATGGTTTAACTGCTTGCCGTTTCGAACTCTGCGTCTCACTGAATGGGCTGTAACTTCATTATTGTTGCGAATTTGACCTTACAATTTTAGGAGCGTATTTTTGAAATGTTATACTTTTGATTAACGCAACAAAAATTCGATTTTTTCGACCTGTTACACTAGAATCTTCCTTAATTTTGATAGATAAATTTGAATAACGAAATTATGTCTTAGAGATTTCTAGCTATTAATTTTAATCGTCGATTAAATATTTCATTGTTTATGAATCAACATTATTAAGCATGTGATAAGACGGTTATCATCTTCTGTTCTGTTTAATTATAAGACTTGTTACAGCGAAAATGGTTTTGTAATTGATCAAAACATTTGTAAAGATTTCTTAATGTAGCACAGATAATTTGAGGATTAATTTTATTGCCATTGCACACATGTAGATATGATATCTTCGACCTGTGACCATATATTTGATTATATTTTTGTTACAGGAAGCCGATCATTCGGCCGCTCATGATGAGATGGATAATGTCGCTGCACTGGCCGAAAGCATCCAGCCTAAAGGAAATACGTTGCTCACTACTAGTGTAAGTTTCCATTTTTTTTATTTTTTTTATTATGTTTTACTATGCAAATGGATAAAATTATGCAAAGATCTTCCCTTACAATTTGAAGTTAGTTTTCTTATCAACAATTTTATTCGACACTAATTATGTCGCACATTGTTAATATAAAACATTTGATATACTGTTATTATAAATCGAAAAAATCGAAATTGATAAAGAAAATAATTTTATTTGTATGCGTACTTCTGAAACTTATTTTACGAAGATTAGTTTGTTTTTAATCGTCTATGGAGGATAGTTGATGCTTGAGTCAATAATTTTAATGAAACAAAAGTGTATTTGAAAATTTTGATTCCTTTGTTTACTTGCTATTTTAAGATATTTGTAGTATTTAATGTGATCCTTTCAATCCAAGGTGGTAAGCAGTAACTTTGCTCATCATCATTTCTGAAAGGAAAATTACTAGTGATTTTTTTCCATAGATAATTGCGTATATTTTGCGCATATTTCAGAAAATAATCACTACAAGATTCTTAATCATAAATTTCATAAAACATAAAAGGATGTCATACTTACACAACTATTTAATTAAACATCAACATTTGATTTTTCTTCAAGCGTTGAGACACCAGTAGTTTTCAATTTACACGTCACGATATAAAAAGAAGCGGCTAAATTTTTAAATTATTAATTTAAAAAAGTAGAGATGCAAACAACAATGAGCCATTGACTTTTGCAAAAAAAGTTGAAAAATTCTCAAAATTAAATTCCTGTATGATGACATCCTGCATTCAGAGTTTCTTCCATGTGTTTCACTAACGTTGCATGTATTTTCAGGTTGTCACTAAAATACCGTTTCTTCTGAAGCACGCTCTTCGCGAGTACCAGCATATAGGATTGGACTGGCTCGTCACTATGTACGACAGAAAATTAAACGGTATTTTGGCGGATGAGATGGGCCTCGGTAAAACTATACAGACGATCGCGCTGCTGGCTCACTTGGCTTGCGAAAAAGGAAATTGGGGGCCGCATCTTATAATTGTGCCGACCTCTGTGATGCTCAATTGGGAAATGGAGTGCAAAAAGTGGTGTCCCGGATTCAAGATACTGACGTATTACGGCACGCAGAAGGAGAGAAAACAAAAGAGGACGGGTGAGGAGATTTTGTAATTGCTTGAAGCAGAATGACACGCCATTTTTTACTATTTAACTATTCGATTAAGCTTCTACATAATTGAAGAATAATATTCTTCAAGGTTTTTATTATTGAAGCGAGATAGTGTAAAACTCGTGTATCAAAAATCCTGTCTGAAGGAACAACTATAGTAGAATAATCATTGTTTAAATTTATAATAAAATATGACGTTGTTTTTACATTTGTATTAAATCTAACATTCTTTTGCAGGTTGGACGAAACCAAACGCTTTCCATATATGTATCACATCTTACAAACTGGTGATTCAGGATCACCAAAGTTTTCGGCGGAAAAAATGGAAGTATCTTATTTTGGACGAGGCGCAGAATATTAAAAACTTCAAATCACAGAGATGGCAGTTACTTTTAAACTTCCAGACACAACGGTAATTAAATAATCCGTAAATTCGTCGAAATTAATTTTAAGATTAAGAAAATTTATTTGAATCTTTCAAAGAATCAAATTTATATTTGCTCGAAAGATTTGTAAGAAGAAACCGACTTCTTTTTTCTACATACAGTTTTTATATTGTTATATATTTCACTCTTCTGTCACTTAACGCACGATACTCGCTGCCGACTACAGACATTAATCCGAAATGATGATGTCCGTATTTTTTCACAGCGAAATAGTAAAAGTCTCTAATAAAACTCGCCTGTCAAAAATTGATAAGACGAATCCTGTCTGGAGAAACATTGCTAATAATGAACAATCGTGCGAATTGAACATAAGTGAAATTCTTTCCTCGAAACGTTACTGCATCGCTTTTATCGTTGTCTGTTTCAGGAGATTACTTCTTACCGGCACACCTCTTCAGAATAACTTGATGGAGCTGTGGTCGCTCATGCACTTTCTTATGCCTAATGTATTTCAGTCTCATCGCGAGTTTAAGGAATGGTTCAGCAATCCTGTCACGGGCATGATTGAAGGAAATAGCGAGTACAACGAGAATATAATCCGTCGTCTGCACAAGGTCTGTACGTTAGTTTTTTCTAAATTCTCTTGTCTTTTGGTATTTTTCTTTTTTTTTTTTTTAACTTGTGAGCTTTTTCAAATTTGTGATATTAGTAAAGAAATTTGAATTTTGTTCGAGAGATGCACTGTGTACATCAAATTTTTTATACAGCGTATCCGAGATTTAATAAACGACATTCTTTGCAGGTGCTGCGGCCGTTTCTCTTGAGACGATTGAAAACTGAGGTGGAGAAGCAATTGCCGAAAAAATACGAGCATGTGGTCATGTGCCGTTTGTCAAAGCGTCAGAGATTTTTATACGATGATTTTATGTCTAGAGCCAAGTAAGTGAATTCCTTTTTTAATGCTTTAGGATTTATGTAGCAATTAATTTCGTAAACAAATGTGAAAAAAATCGTGGTACAGCAGAACTTTTTTACAACTTCGACAAACGAATGTTCAATTTGCCTGTTAATTAAGCTGCGTTTTGTGCAAATTTTCTTTTTGTACACAAAAAATACTTTGTTTTTATTCTTATCATCTACTAAAGTATTTTACATGAGCAATTATAAGTAAGCATGTTACGTTTATTGTTTTTATGTATGATATTTATAATTTTTGATTGCACAAACGCATTTTTTTTGTATTTGAATTCAGATATTAATTCACTATTATTGTTAAAGGACGAAAGAAACGCTCGCCAGCGGAAATCTGTTGAGCGTGATCAATGTGTTGATGCAATTGCGGAAAGTGTGCAACCATCCGAACTTGTTTGAAGTGCGACCGACTGTTTCGCCGTTTCAAATGGAGGCGCTCGAATTCGTGACCGCCTCGTTGGTCTGGAATGTGCTCGATTACGATCCTTTCAAGGTAAAATAATAGGCGACAGTGTTGCGTTGACACACACAAACGCTCTTCGCGTATTTGATTATTAAAATCTAAAGCGACCGAGTGTCATCCGATTTCTGTGAACTGTGATTTGAATTTGCAGCATGTCCAACTGTCCAGCCTGAACCTTTCGCTATTAGATCTGGAGCAGACGGTTAGTGCGTTTGTTGCGCACCGAGTGAAACGATTGCAAACACCCAGGAAGCTTATAGAGGAGATAGATAGCCAGCCGGAACCGCCGCCTAGATGTCCGTCTGGCCGAATTAAGATCAACGTTAGATTGTCGAATCAAGCGAAACCTCAGTCGAATGCGCAGCAACAACAAACACAGACCAGACTGAAAAGTCTAGCCGGCGTGCTGCCCACGCCAAGAGTGGGTACGTCTCCATTGATAAGGTCGTTAAATACCAGCCAGGCTTGTTCGGGACAAGGTAGGTGTTACTTTATCGCGTTATTTGTTCACATTTTTATGGAATTGCTAACAAAATCATTCCATCGCCTCCGCGAATTTAAACTAAAGAGCGTTTGGTAACAACGTTTCCTTTTTTGGTTTTTAGGTTATAAAAATAATAAAATAAAATATTCTGCGTACATATAATGCAGTTGTAGAGGTTATAAATGCACTTGTCGAGCGATAACAAAATTGGAACTTTGGAAAAATCGTGAATTATTTTTCATGAAAAATTCTGTTTCTGTCAACGCAAATCTGATAACATAAACAATATGTTAATCTCTATTAGGTGTGCCAAAATTAATGTAATCGAATCTGTGAATTGAAGAGAGCAAACTTTAATCAGGATCATTAATACGGGATTTTAACAAGATTATATATAATGCAGACGCAATAATTTTCAGTTTTCTAGCTAAAGCCATATATTAAGTCTTGCTAACAGAAGTTAAAGATAACAGCAAAAATTTTAATTGATACCAAATCAATTTTTTCTTTACGATTTATTTCTTATATTTTAACAGTAATATTTTCAGACGTCATTAGTGTCGTTTTGAATGCTAAACGTAAGAATTGTTACTTTTAGGTGTTACACTCAGAGTAGCAGGTGGCCAACAATTGCAAGGATATTCCGTGCAACTGGTAGCGCAACAGGGAAGCGTGAAAGGTGTGTGGTTTTTATTCTTTCATTTGTCTTTCAGTGATTCAACTTTCAATCGTATATTATTTTACAAACCTGTGTTTTATAAATCTCGACTATATGAAATTGTCTTCTAACAAAACATTTGTATTACATTTGTATATATTTGTATATATTTTTAATTTTACATTGACTTGCATATTGCATATGAATATAAAATTTAAATGATTGTGCATCATAGATCAGCGGTTGTCGCTGTGAGCATGGTTGCTCGCTAGACAACCGCTTTTGCAGTGATGCTAGAAAAACTGCCCCTTAGGCCAGCTTGTTTATAATTTTGTCATTTTATAAGCATTCTAGAACCAAGGGTACATTTTTTAAGTAGTCTTTCGCAATAAAATATATTGGATGTGTAAATTAATTTGCGACCTTAAGTTTTGATTCTTCTAAAAATACCACTTTGGAATTAGACAGTTAACTGAAAGATGACTAAAGGTAACTGATGAAAATTATAAAACACTTCCAGATTAAAATTGTAATATTTTCTGTAAATGAAACTCCATTTTTCACAAAAGATTGGCGAATTAATTTAACTACATAATATTTTTACTTTGTTTTCTTTTGACATTTCGCTAAAAACACGACGTCCTAATGCAAAGTTTCTTGTAACAGCTATTCCTGTCGCAACTTTGGCACATAATCCGCAAAGCACTACTGTGACGCCGACCACGGCAACGACCACCGCGCAAAGAATCACAGTGGGCAACACCGGCACCAAAGACGGCATTCAACGATTGGCAACGCAAACCGTCACTCTGAAGCAAGGCGATTCCGTCCAAAGAATAGCGGTGCCCGCCAATTTCGCACAGCTGGTTCAAACCTCCGTCGGCAGACATATCATTTTGACGAATCAACAGAACACTAACACAGGTTCGTCACTCTTCGATCACTGCCGATAGCGTGAAACAAGTTCGAAACGAAAAGTCAATGAAAAGTAACGCATTTTGTACTGTAGTTTCGTTTCCAGTCATGACTTCGAGCGGACCAAGATTCACGGTGCTGTCCAAATCATTGATGGGCCTGTCCACCTCGGCTGCCACGACGATGAACAAAGTCGTTGGCGGAGTGGTGACAACGCCGAGCGGTCGGCCCGTCATGAGGGTGCCTCCTCTGAACGTCAGCGCCTCGCAGTCGTCGCCGAGTGGAAATAACAGCCAGCAGCAGCCGCAGCTGCAGTCGGTTCGCAATATTCACACGAGACAGGCGCAAAAAGCGGCCAGCAAGGCGCAGAGCAAGGAACAACCTAAGTCCGAATTTCACTTGGTAATTCAACTGTCGATAATTGAATCTCTTCGGAGGACAATTGAGGATTTTCACTTTAATTGTACACAATTTTTTAGTTGCATTTTTTTTTCTTTTCCAGAAAGGAATAAAACTTAAAATCTTTCGACAATTTTTCCGCGTGTCTCCTCAATTGTCTCGTTGGGCGGTTCGATTTTTAATCGATTTATTGATCATTTTACAGCCACAACTGGAGGAGGAGAGACGGCAGAGAAAGCAAGCGAAGCTGCGCCTCGTAGCTAATATCAATGAGCGACGATGCGCGGCGTGTCCGCTTTACGGCGAAGATTTGTTTATAGCCTTGAGAATCGGTAAACCGTCGACTGCCTGTCGCTGGCACGAGGGCTGGGTGCATTGCGCGACGGCTAAGGAAAACGCTCGCACTCGGAAAGAGTTTTTCTCGCGCACAGAGGCGCTCGCCGAAGCGATTCAGAGCACGGAGCAGATCGTTGAAGAGCTTAAGGAAGTGTTCGAAAGGTTAATATGCGACATGTGTGTCGAGTCATAAATTTACAAGCTTTTTCGAATTCTTTTATGATTTTTGCTTAACGGATATCATTGGATTTTATTTTGTCCTCACAACTTTCAGTATTAAACACTCCAACATCCAAGTCTCGCGTGAAAATTCCACGGCTGTTACAAAATAAAGGGCCACTTTTTTCAACGTCGGTTTAACTTTAACCAATCGTTACAGGATTGCCATCATGAAGAATGAAATATTGCAATTGAAAGAGAAAATTTCTCTCATAAGCTAAATATTATATATAATATAATAATATAGTTAGTATTGCAAAATCTTTTTTTACAGTCAATTTCTATACATTTTTTATCAATATACTGAAATTTTAGGATTGACGACATACAAGTTTCGAGTTTTAAGTTGGCTATTCTGAAAAGTTACCAGTCGGTTAGAATTAAGGGGATCCTAAAGTGGTCCTTTTCTGTAAGTAAAAATCCTTTTAAATCGACCATCCGTAGTGTAATTAGCATATGTACTTTACTTACAGAAAAGGACTTTATTCTACACAGCCAAAAAAAAGTTAAGTGTATTTGAAAAAAATAGGTAAAACAGACCACTTTAGGATCCCCTTAACAGACGTTGGAAAAAGTGGCCCAAGGACAGTCATCTGTTTTATTCAAATTTCTTTCGTGTACTTTTCGGAGTTAAATAATGAACTTTCGTGCGTTTTTCGATACAGATTTGTGATCCACGTGCCGGCTGTGCGCGCGCCGATACCTCGATTCCACGTGTCCCATCCGCCGCCGCACAAGTTGTGGGGCGAGCGTCGTCTGCGGACGGAGCTGCAGCGGCAACTGTCACCGAAGCTGGCTCTGTACCATCCGATCACGAGCAACATGCTGACGCAGTTCCCCGACCCGAGACTCATCCAGTACGACTGCGGTAAGCTGCAGTCGCTGGATCGTCTGCTGCGGAAGCTCAAGTCCGAGAATCATCGGGTCCTCATATTCACGCAAATGACCAGAATGCTGGATGTGCTGGAGGCTTTCCTCAATTTCCACGGACACATATACCTGCGACTGGACGGCACCACCAGAGTGGATCAACGTCAGGTATCGATCAATTCATCACGTCGACGAGATACTTTATTTTGGTTCACTCAGTTCTTTCAATGTTGATTTTATTTGGACTTTTAAGCAGCGACAGTTCGCGTTGGAAGTATTTAATTGAGTTGTGTAAAACTTTGTTTTTTAGTCAAAATGCCTCGTGAATCAAGTTTTGTCAAGATTTTGTTAAGATTTTTAAATGTGAAAGACATTTTTTCTTCGAGCTGCTCTTGTTGCAAAAATTAACCACGGCTCGTGATTCGCAGGTTTTGATGGAAAGATTTAACGGCGACAAGCGAATATTTTGCTTCATCCTGTCGACGAGATCCGGTGGTGTCGGGGTGAATCTGACGGGGGCGGACACGGTGATATTTTACGACAGCGACTGGAATCCCACGATGGACGCCCAGGCGCAGGACAGATGTCACAGAATAGGTCAAACGCGGGACGTACATATCTACAGGTACGCAATTTGGCGCGAATTAATCGATATAACGATGAAAAAAACAATTTACAATGATTTACTGCTCAAAGAATATTTATTATCACAATTGTGAGCAATTTATAGTATCTGATGTAATGTTATGTGTTACAGTTTATTAAAATACAGACAACCAGTCTGTACTTTGATAAAATTAATAGCACGACGGCAGGTGTGCAATATAATAATTTATATTTCAGATTAGTCAGTGAAAAGACTGTAGAGGAGAACATCTTGAAAAAGGCGAATCAGAAACGACTGCTGGGAGACCTCGCGATTGAAGGCGGAAACTTCACTACAGCGTATTTCAAAAGTGTAAGTGTTCGAGTGAGAATTTTTAGACAAATTATTGATATTTCTGTTATTTTATCTTTTTTATTACAAATTTAGAAGCAAAATTTATCGTACGTTGACAAATTTGACATATATTTGGCGAAAAAAAATCCCGCAGTTAAATACAATGTTTTGATTATATAGAAACAGATAGTTATTGTTTATCTTTTGCATAACAATAAGATTGTTTGCGCAGTCCACCATTCAAGACCTGTTCAACATCGATCAAACGGAGAACGACGCGTCGATGCGAATGGCCGAAGTGCTGGAACAAAATCGGGACCGAGAGAAGGCTTGGAACAAGGACGCGGCAGCAGCGGGACCCTTCCAGAGCTTCGCGAACCAGCACACGGAGGATAAGGCAGCGATGGGCGCTCTCGAGAACGCTCTGACCGCCGCTGAGGAAGATCTCGATGTTCAGGCCGCGAAAACTGCAAAAGCCGAGGCCGTCGCCGATCTCGCGGAGTTCGACGAGAATATTCCGTTGGAGGACGCCGACGACACGCAGGTCAGCAAGGCGGAACAGGAGGTTCAGAATTTGGTTGCTCAGGTAGGACAAACGTTTCTCGACATCTCGTCGAGCAAGCTAAATCGACTCGATCGAGTCTTCATTAGTTGTTTTACTTAATTCTTTATCGTTACGTGCACTTTTCAATTATATCGCTTTTATTATTATTTGAGAATTGTTTATTTTGAAAACGATGCAAGTTCACGTTTCCTTGTTTCGAAATATTGAAGGATTTTAAAATCCACGGCTCATTTCATGTTTTACTCTTCGCGCCTGTCGAATGTAACTTTATAATGTCTATTTTCAGATTTTGTTTTCAGAAATACAGATTTATTTTTTTGTATATATTAAACGTCTTCTAAATCTAAATTTTCCGCCCATGATTTGCAATATCTCGTTATGTCTAAAGATTACTTTTGAAATAACAAAAACCTTTTCTCTGCTATCTTATTTATATGATTGAATTGCTTCTTTCTCGAATATTTTTTTCTGTGCATTCACTGTAACCTTTACGCCTAAGATGGTTATAAAAATCTCAAGACAAGACTAGTCTGCATTCTATTGTACACCAGACTCACGCGATGTATAACATTCGATTCAGTTAACTCCGATCGAGCGGTACGCCATGAAGTTCGTCGAGGAGTCCGAGGGCGCGTTCTCGGCGGCGCAGCTGGCGGCAGCCGAGCGGGAACTCGAGCAGCAGAAGAAGGAGTGGGAGCTAGACCGGCTGCGGGCGCTGCGCGAGGAAGAGGAGCGGCGCATGCGGCTGGCCGACGACGACGAGAAGCCGCTGACGTTCGGACGCGAGGATGCACAGAATCAGGTTAATAGCGTCGCCGCTAAAGGCGGTTCCAAACGATTAGTCAGTAAGCGATTAGCGGCGCCGAGTAGAAGGAGTTCGCGCCGACGTGGCGGTAGGCGACGGGTAAGCGCGCGCGAGTCGTCGTCGGAGAGCGAGATCGAGACCAGCTCCGAGTCGGACTCGGAGTCGGAGTCGCAGGAGGAGGAGGACGTGGTCGAGGACAGCCTCGACGAGGAGTCGAGTCACACGGAGAGTCAGAGTCAGGGCGACGACGGCGAGGAGGAGGAGGGGGAGGGCGGCGAGGAGGAAGAGGAGGAGGCCGGCGAGGGGAACGAAGACGGGAGGACTAACAATCGCGATGATTCCGAGCGAGGGGGCGGTTTCTCCAGACGGCGGAGGGGTCGTTTGGCGGGCTCCGGCGCCTGCAGTCGCAACCACTTCGACCTGAACAGCCCGCGCACCAGGTCACGCGGCAACGTTCAGATCAATCTGTGGACGCTGGACGTGAGCCCGATCCTGCCGGGCGTGAAGCCGAACTTCCGTCGGCAGCGCAAAAAGTTCCATCGCGCCAAATCCGAGGAGGTCCTCTCTTCGCCGTCACCGTCGGTCGACGCGTGTCCCAAGAAAGGCGGCGGTCGGCTTAACGCCAAAGTGCCGACGATCGCCGACAACTGCGATCAGAGCGCGAAGGACGAGCGGCGAGACTCCGTGCCGCCGTCGATCGGCTCGAACGGCGTGGAGCGACGCGTCAGCGAGTCCGACACGGAGCGACCTGCTGACGACTGCGCAAACCTGACGACGCCGAGCGCCGAGACACAATTGAACGAGACGAAAACGTTGGAATCGGACGGGGCGGATAATGTCGACGGAGACGTTGCGAGAGAGAAGGAGAGAAATGACGAGGAGGTGAACGGAACGAGTGGCAGCAACCTGATCACCATTCGCTCTGTACAGACGACGCGGTGCTCGCAGAAGGTCACGTCGGCGATCAACAGGAAGCACGAGTCCGACGTGAATCGCAACGAGGACGCGGAGAACCTCGACGTGAACGTTAGCGCGCGCGATTCCCGGTCTCCGACGGCAGCGCAGTCGGACGCGACGCTGAAGCGCTCGCCGAAGGAGGCGACGTCCAGATCCGAATTCGGCGTGTCGACCAACAACTCCGTGTGCAACAACGCGCGCGGAAAGCTCGCCGCGGCGTCGAGGGAGCCGGAGAAGAGCGTCGTCGAGTCGTCCCCGAGCCGCTCGATTCCGCTCTTACGCTCGAAGATGCTGCGAAACGGCAGCCCCGACGTGGTCGACAAGATCGCGAAACCGGTGCCGCGCGGCGTCGCCGCCGCCGCCGCCGCCGCCGCCGCCGCCGCCGCGCAGAGAAACTCCAAAGCGAATGCGAACGTCAACGATCATCACGGTAACGCGATCGAGAGCGAAGGTAAGGACGGCCTCGACGAGAGCAACGACGACGCCGAGCCGATAGTGTTGCGCAAGTATGCTAGTCAGAGATTGAATTCGAAAAGCGACGCGCGAGCGAGTCCCGACTCGAGCGTCTCGTCGCAGACGCTGGACAAGAGAGTGAACGACGTGTCGGACGCCTCCACGCGCTCGATGAAAAGCGACGCGAGCTCCAGCGAGTCGAAATGCAAGATACAAAGAGTGGAGATCATGATCACGCGAGGCGTGATGACTCGCAGCTCGAAAATTCCCTCCATCATCACGATACACTCGGAGGACGCGCGTCAAACGGACGACACGGCCGACTCGGAGGGTAAAAGCGGCGGCACGCAGATGAAAACCGGTCAGGGGACGCGGAGAGCGACCGACGTCGTGTCGTCGTCGTCGCAACACGCGGGCGGCGAGCAGAGTAGGATCACGCGATCGGCGGGTCGCCCGTCGACGCCCACGGCCGACGACGAGGCGACGGCGTCGCCGAAGCTGACGCAGAGACGACGGGCGGATACGCCTTTCCTACGGCCGGTCACGAGGTCCGCGGCGATCGTCAACTCCTCCGTGAAGATCGACGGGGTGTCGTCCGCTCGGGGCGAAAAATACGTGACGACGCGGATGCTCGTGGTCTCCGCGAAACGTCGCCCGGACACGCCGCGGCCGCACGTTCCGCCCAACAACAACGAGCAGATGTCGAGGGTGACGCGCTCGGGTGCGTTGGTGCTGAATTCCGCCTCCGCGGCGAAGATTTCGTCGCCGTCGTCTTCCGTTTCCGCGCTGAGGACGAGCGCCAAGCAATTGCGAAATTCGCCGATGCGCGGCGGCGGCGAGAGCGAAAACAGCGCGGACTCGACGTTGTACGAGAAGCCTCAGAGAACAGCGAAGGTCGTGGCGATTCTCACTCTCGACACGAGGAACAATCATAACAGCGGCAAGGCCTTCTCATCGATTCAGTCGAAATCCAATTGCGAGGGGAAAGTCCAGGACAAGGAGTTTCTCGGCGCGTCCCGGTTGTCGGACGCGCTGAAGGATCATCAGGAGACCGATCGCGAGGAGGCGAGCGATTCGACGGACACCAAGTCGAGAAGACTGCGCAGGGAAACGAAGCGCGCCAGAGTCGCGTCGACGTGCTCGCTCGACGGCGAGGACGTCTCCGACAACACCAGCGACGAGGAGTCGTCGCAGAAGAAGTTACGCTCTTCGCAGCTCTCCCCCTCGCCGTCCTCCTCCGCCGTCCCGGCGACGCGTTCTGAGAAACTGAGAAGTGGCGCGATATCTTGAGCCACGCTGAGGTGTTGTTGTGGTAGTCGTCGGCGAGACGCAAGCCGCCTCGTCGGGAATACCGTTGCTGTTCAACTATTCGGTCGAGTATAATCAGCTTGCTATACGTGTGATGCTGGGTTTACGCTCGGCATTTACCTTCGGCATGATACCTTCTCGTTTCCGACGATGTGCTTTCGTTAAACATTCTTTCACGCAATACACAATGCCTGTGAAGAGTTCTTCAGCGTTTGCATTCGTGCGGTGACGTCCGGAGAGGCAGAAACGTTAATCTTGTTTGTAATGCTTATTTTTCTTAAGATACTTTTAAAACGATGTTAAAGATGCATCTTTAGTGTACAGATTCGGTTCGCATTGGATAAATCTTATTTTTCTTTTTTATTTATATTCTTTGTGATGTAAAAGAAATTTTTTAATAACATGTCAATATGTTATAAAATAGAAAAAAATGTTAAAAAGTTATAAAAAGTAAAAATGTTAGGTTAGGAAAAGAAAGAAAATTGTTGTGCAATTATAATGAAAAGCTAAAGTATAGCAGCATTCATTTATTGCAATTTAGAATAAAGTTGAAAAAACATTTTTTTCATTCACGTTTTAATTTGGACAAACCGACTCGGTTTTTTTGTTATTAGTTGTTAAAAAAAAGAGAAAAGGTGGCGCGGTAGAAATGACAAGTAACATTGTTTTTGTTATAAAAAACGTTGAAGAATTACTCTCGAGATTATTACATGAGAACGTTCATGAGATTTACGTCAAAAATATCATGAGATAAAAAATGCCGAGTTTAAACTAGCTCTTAGAAGATAGCTATTTACTTGCGCGGCTCACGCGCATTGAATAACGCGATTTTCGCCCATAATTAGCGCTTAGTGTGGTTATTTGATTCTCGTAATCGACATCCGCACGCGATTTTTGTGACAAAGTTTCTCACATGTGTACGAACTTTCTTATATATAAAATTTCCTTCGCACTGTATCGTTGGATTTTCTGTCCGAATTTTCCTTGCAATTTTTATTACTCAATTTTAAGAAACTGAATGATAAAAGCTAAGAGACAAACTCCGATAAAAGATGCAACGATATTAGCGCGAGAAAATTTTATACGCGAGAAAAATCGTTAAGTATGAGAAAAACTCTGCGCGAGAAGAATGAGAGAAACAAGAACAAATAGGCACGTTTAAGCGCTAACGCCGGGGGTGGAATCGCGCATCTTTGTACATAATCGATACGGTATGATTACGATAAGCAATGCGTCGTCATCCGGTCTGCACTGGGTAGATGCCGGATGTAATATTTGTAGCGTTGTAAATCGTGCTACGCGATTCATCGCTCCTAATCTCACCTCATCTTATTTCGTTGTAAAAATTTATAGGTGGATCTTTTCCCTCTGACTGCACTTTCCCACACTCTCGAATCAGTCTCGCTCTTCTCCCCCTCACTTCCCGTCAAGAAAGTCTAGGAAAGTGCAGACAATAAAGGCAAATTTTTAGGCGCGCGCGCGAGAGATTGTATGTTTTGGACGACTTGTGATTTATACAAACGGTATGACGAGCAAAACGGACGAATGTATTATATTGGGGAAAGACGAACCAGTGTAAAACTTTAGTCAAGCGATTCTCTAGTGCGCTACATTAAACACTATACGTACACACACACACACACACACACACACACACACACACACACACACACATACAGCGTGGGCGCACGCAGGCAGTAGAACACGCGACGCGAGAAATGAAAGGATTGCAAAAGTCGTGCGGGACAGAGCGCGTAATTTTATTCTGCCCTGATTATTTCCGTTACTTCAGCACTTCGGTAACTCGGACACTCGATTCAAGGACACTGATTTAATTGACAATAATTAGGGTGACAGAGAGTTGCGCCGTTCACCCGGTATTCCTAGGAAGATAAAACGAGAAAGAGTTTTAATCATGAACTACGTAACTCGCAGGACACAAAAAATGACCTGATTATTATATTATATATAATATGATAGCGTAAGATTATCCTTCCTCCGCTGTTTCCACTCCTTCCACTACACACACACACACATACACACACACACACACACACACACACACACACACACACACACACACACACATTGTAATATTTAAGTTGCGTGCCTGTATTTTGTATGATCGAGCGAGAGTTCGAAGAAGAAAAAAAAAATAAACGAGATATTCCTTGCTATATATGAAAATGTGTTCTCTTATTTCTTGATGCATTTCCAAGTCTGTGTCGATCAAAGGTTCAGTTCCGTTTTGGTGTCAAATCATTCTCAGCTCAGTGTGCTTGTTTATATTATATTCGCGATTTATTACCGAGAAAAACGAGATTTTCTCTCGATGTCAGTTTGGTGTGGCAAGGCTATCATGACCGCACATCTTTCGAGACGAGATATGTACTTTAGTGTACGCGTAAAAGAAAAAAAAAAGAGAATAAGAGCTCCAATAAAAATGATTCGTAAAAATGGCACCAAAACACTGCCTTTGCCATTCCAAACTTGGAGTCCGCAGCAAGAATATAACAGGCACATGAGTGAGATACGTTTGTACGTTAATGCGTCTGTTTCTTCATGTATCATACATTATATACGTATGCTTGTGTATGTATGTAATGTACAGATACACGAATAGGAGTGAAGGGAGACGCAATAACGCATAGATCGAAGGAATATATCGTAAAAGAATTTTTTTTTTAATATTTAGGACGTAAAGAACGAGAACCTTTGAGCGTCTGCGTCCCACAAATATCACTTCGTTTTTATAACGAGTTTTTTAATGATGCATCGAAGTTAATGTTTCTTTGATCAAAAATCGAAAAAGTTGGTTTTAATTTTGTAAATTTTCCAATATTTTAAATATGCACTGTTTGGAAAATTAAATTCTCGACTAAAGTTTTACAAAAAAACTATATAAATTTCAAATTGGGTTTGCTTTTAATCTACAAATATAAACTTTCACATCACGATATATTCAGAAAAGACTACTCGATGTTAAAAATGAATAAAAATACGGGAAAGAATAGTCTCTCATTCTTTCTTATTCTTTATTATTTTATGTTACATATTTATCAGCCTTTGAGGTATTATATTTCTTTTATTTATTTTTATAAACTGTCATATTATTTATTGCTTGTACATACAATTTGTTAAAAGTTTAATTTTCTGCTTTGTCTTCGCGATTTAAAAGAGCAAAGGCGAAATTTTAAAGTAAAATCTCACGTTTAACTTTTAACGTCTTGCAGATTTGGCTATCGGAACACACAATGGAACAAATGCCGGTACGTACAAAATGATATTTTAAGCTTTTCTTGTATAAACTTACGAAAATGAAAAAAGAGACATTATCTGCACAGAAAGAACACTTGCTGAAAAATTGGTCTGAGAATAAATTTTGTTGGACATTCAAAATTTATGAATAGCGCACTCGATCTTGGTCGATGGATCGTTAAAACTTTTTACTGCGATATGAAAAAGATCGAGCACTCTATTGATCAATTTTGATTGTCCAGCAAAATTTATTTTCAGATCTGTATGTGGCATAATTTTTGGATCTTTCAGCAAAAGTGTTCTTTCCGTATCGGATAACAAAATTTCTTCGGTTTCGCTGATAACAAACGTTTTAAAAAAACCACACGAATTTTGTTGATCACTATAATTTTTTGATAATACATTTTATTGTACAATATACTGAATTATTATCTTTATTGGTAGAAAAATATTCACGTTATACACGAACATAAATGCAAAATAAGCTATTGTGGAAATTTATAAGTAGATGTAGCATGCGCATTCAAGAGGTGATTCAATGCACAGAAAATTATTTGCTTTCCGGACAATGCAATTATTAAGTTTGTTTCTTCTTCAGATGTGGTGTCCACCGACGCCTCCTACAACAGACAATGACGTATACATCGATTATTCTTTGAGCTTTCTCTATGAAAATATTCCAATGACAGAGGCTCAACTACCACCGATTTACATCAAGAAGGAACGCAACAGAAGCAGGATTGAATCCGGCCTCAGCGATGATGGTGAGTTGAAAAAGTTGCAGACATTAAGAACCGTAGGATAAATAATATAAAGCAAATAGAGCAAATAAAGCTGGATCTCAGTGCTCAATCATTTATTTTAACATTAAACGCTTATACGGTCAAACGTTTCGGCTATCTTCAGTATAAAGAAAACGTTAACGAATACAAATAAAAACGCAACTCGTAGAATGACAGTAGTATGCGAAATCCATTAATTGGCCGTATTCGGATTGACAATCGTTTTGTATAGTTAGCAGCGGATTTAACAATGTCAAGTAGACAGTCAATATATAATATTAGTAAAATTAGCCGTAAATTTGTCAAGTAGTGTAAACTGTGTGTCAAATTTAAAAAGTATAAAATATAATTATATGACTTATATGACTTATATTCTACAGTTCGTTTAATAAAGAGACGGTAAAAAGAAACGTACCTCAGATCAGCAATTGTTGTCATATTGTGAACAATTGAAAAATATGAAATCACAGAATTAATAACTACTTAAGGATTTATAATGTGTGTATCCGTTAACGTTTCAGAAAGGGACAGAAGAATGTAAAATTAGATGAGAAACGTTAAGGAAAATAAGGAGAGGAGGGGGGTATTAAGAAAGGATATTTTATAGAGTGGGGAACTTCCTAAGGTAGATATGTGTTCGGTAAAAGTTCGGTGTCGCTCTGTTTATTTAGCCCTGTGTTTTAAATTTTGACGCAAGGTCGGCGTTCTATTACGTACGGACAAATAGGTTCAGATTTCATTCTGTTGTTGAAAGACTTTAGGTAATAATTTATACTACTTGACAAATTTACGGCTAACTTTACTGATAATTTTATACATCGACTGTCTACTTGACATTGTTAAATCCGCTGCTAACTATATTCACAGCACGATTGTCAATCCAAATACGGCCAATTAATGGATTTTACATACTACTGCCATTCTACGAGTTGCGTTTTTATTTGTATTCGTTAACGTTTCCTCCACACTGAAGATGGGTGAAATATTTTACTGTATGTATAAGCGTTTAATGTTAAAATAAGTGATTGAGATCCAGCTACGGCTCTATTTGCTTTATATTATTTATCCTATTATAAAATAATAGAAGAGCCTTCAACTATTATTAATTATGTTATTAAGAACGATTTTATCTTACTTTTCCTATCAACCTTACGTCTCGCTCTTCTCGCAGGCTGCCGACCGGCCAAGACGCGACACAAGGAAGAATCTGTCTTCGCGCCCAGGTCGCTGTTCGACAGACCCTCACCAGCGTTAATGAAGATGCGTCGCGATATGAAAATGCACAACAAGTATCGCACGATTGCGCGTGCGCCGGTGCCGGTGTTAAAGACTTCGTCGCACGTGACGAAGACTTTGCCGGAGCCGGATCACGCTGTGGACTGGCTGGTCTACGAAGAGTGGGGTCTGTTGCATCCCATCCAGAGCTACCAGAACCTGCCGTTGAACACGATGATTCTCACGCCCGGTCACACGCCCAATTGGGACATGGTCGCCGACACCATCAACAACTCCGCGCGTCTGCATAGATCGCCCAAGCACTGCAGAGGCCGATACGAGACCGTGATAATGCCGCGAGAGGAGGGCAAACTCATGTACGACGTTGCGCCGAAGAAGCAAAAAAAGCAGAAGGGTAGCGTGTACAAAACGCCGCAGGTTTCCGAGAGCAAGGCCAACAGAGCGTTGAGAACGTCGCAGTTGCATAATCAAGATAAGAATAACTCCTTCACAATGATGGGAAATCAGAGGTACGAAACTGTCAAGTCGGTGTCCAATAAGCGAACGCCCACCGCGAACGTGAAGCCGCTTCTCGTCAATTCGTTGATGAGAAATCCCAGTAGCGCAGCCGTTCTGCTGGAAAGTGGTATACAAGTCGAGAGCCCGATGGTGCCGGTAGATGTCGCCACCAAGCGCGCTAATAGAATAGCCAAGGAAAAGCAAAAGCATGCGTCGCAGGTCTTGACTCAGCAGCAACAGCAGCAGCAGGTTTCTGTGCGGCTTCTGCAGCATCAGCAGCAACAAGCGGCGCAGCAGCAGCAGCAGCAAGCCCAGCAGCAGCAGGCCGGACAGCAAGTGGTTGCGAACTCCGTCGGCTCTCAGATTCATCAACTGACTCAGGCAATCCCGACCGTGACGAGTGCGAGCGGCGCCATAATCAACGCGAAGGCGGCCGCGGCTAGTGTGAGCTTGAGCAACGTGCCGACCACCACGGTGGTCACCACGACGGTGAAGGCTCGGCCCGGCGGGCAGATGACCATGCAGGACGTGAGGACGACGTCGGCGAATGTGGTGAATCTGCAGCAGACCACTCAGCGAATCGCGGCAGCCAACTTGATATCTGCGGGTCAAGCTTCCGCTAACGCAGCGAGTGGTCAGAAGGGCGGCCTGGTGGGCGTGACGGTAGCGGCGTCGGCGAATAAGAACACGGCGCAGTTACAATATTTCAGACAGCAGCAGGTGCTGATGCGACAGCAGCAGCAGCAACAGCAGCAGCAACAACAGCAGCTCAAGGTGCTGCAAGCGCAGGCCGCCGGCGGACAGAAGGTGTCCGTCACGGCGATGTCGGCCACGGCGGTGGCGGCAGCGGCGGCGGCGGCGCAGCAGCAGCAGCGTACGGCGGCTGCGACTTTAATGAAGCAAAGTATCGCTGCGGCCGGTGCTACGGGCGCCGTGGCGGCGCAAACTGGCAAGCAAACTGTAACTAGAACGGTGTCGGACACGGAGATGGCTGCTTTGCTGAAGCGACAGGCGCTACAGCAGCAAGCGAAAGCGGCCGCTGCCGCAGCGGCAGTTGCGCAGGTTCAAGTGAGTGTTGTTTTTCTTTCTTTTTCTTTTCTTTTTTCCTTTCCGCAGGCGTAAAAGAGTAAATCGTTGATTCTATCGCAGGTGCCCACACAAGCGAACCTCTCGACGGCGCAGATCTTCGCCCAGGCTGGCTTGCAGATGCAACAGGCGGGGACTTCCGCTGGCGGCACTCCAGTGGCGACTCTCGTGAAAACAGCGAACGTAGCGGGCGTTCGTACCGCGACGCCGCAACAGATCCGCCAGCTCGCGCTTCATCCGCAAATCATCGCCCAGCGGAAGCTGCCGGCGCAGAAAGTCGCACAGCTGGCGCAGGTCGCGAGTAAAGCCGGCGTGCAGACGCAGCTGATCGTGCAGCAGAAGTCGCTGCCCTCGGCCATGACGGTGCAGCAAATCCAGCAGATGATGAAGCACTCCTCGGCGATGCAGCAATTCAGCCATGTGCGTGAAACATATTACGCCAATCGATATAATTGAAGAACGTCCCGCCGAACAAAGTAACAATTGACAATCTTGCAGGCTTCCACGGGGCAAACGGTGTCTCAGGCCAGCCAGGTGGTGCTGGCCAAATCACCGCTGCAGACGCGTGTGATACCAGTCGCATCTGGAGCGTTGAAGTAGACCATTCAGGTGGTGACTGCTAGTAATGCTCAACTGTGACAGGCCGCGCCTATTCAGGGAAAGCCGGTTGCTGGCGCGGTAAGACGGAGTCCCGGTCCGGGCCCGAACTCGGGCGCGAGTCCGGGGCTCCTCCACTTCTGGTCCCAGCGGCGGCGCAGGTGCCAATCCTGGCGCTGCTTCCGCGACCGCTTCGAATCTGACTTCCCCCGTCGGCCTTGGTCAAGTAAGATTGCAAACAATGGGACACTCGCAGCAACAGCAGGCGCAACAGCAGCAAACTCAGCAGGACGCTCAATCTAAATAGCTTTGGATGATCGCAATGGGACAACGATCGCTTGAATTAAATTGGGAAATTCAGAAACTGGATTGGCTTTGCGTATGTTAAGAAAAATCTTACAGATATTGTAGGCTAAGGATTAATCATTTTTAGAGTCTTTCTGTTTAGAATACACGTAGAAGGGAATAATAAGTGTGAGATATCAGTATATTACGAGTTACACATGATTATTAACAAACAGAAAAATATTAATTTGAAGTGAAATGTTAGAATATTTTCGATAAACTGTTTAGTGGAGAAAACAATGGTTGGAAATTATTTTGGATTTATTAATGGCGAGAATAAAAGTTTGCCCAAAATAAAATGTTATTTGGTCGTTTTGGTCTTTAGCCGATTATTAATGAAGAAAATAGATAATTATTTTTTATGAATAATATTACTTTAAATATAAGTAAAAGTTTCTAATTTTCCCAATTTAATTAAACGTCAAACATTAGCAAGTTTAAGTTTTTCTTTTTCAATATTAGTATAATTTTAATAATCAAAAGTAAAAGTTTGAATTTGACGATACATGTCGGTGCAATAGTAGCCATAAAAAACAAAGCATTCCAAAATTTGCCGCAAACAGCCGTATATTTTCGACATAAGAAGTGACGTTCGTTTATAACTTTGCTTTTTTGCCGTTTTATTTTTGTTTCTAGGAAGAATTAATAATTAACCGTTCGAGTGCCGAACGGCGCGATCGCGCTTCTGCTGTTTCATGACAAAAAATGCTAAACAACGTAATCGACGTTACAAAACGAAGAGTTTCGATTTGCTAAAACTTCGAGTTTTGTAACACAAATGATGAACTATAATAAAATATCCAAATCGGTTCGGTTTATCACTGACAGATGATACGGTAGCATTTTTAGATACGGAAACAGTGCTCTCAGATATACTGGGCTGAGCGCGTATGCGAGGCCTAATGAAGTATTTAATACGCGCGTCCGGCGACTCGTTGTTAACACGTGAGCGGCAAAAAGGGAACAGTGGGTGTCAGTCATGAAAATCAAGCCGAAAGTTGCAACTATGTAATTTCCATCTCTAAAGTATTATATCGAAAGGAGATGCTATATGACTCCCTTTAAAAATTGCTTTCAAAAATAGGTAAAAAATTAATAGGCGCTTTACATGATAAAACATATCTACACGTTAAAATATATATATTCGTATATATTCGTAAAAAAATATATATATAATTATATATTATAAAGTATATATTTTCTTTAGGATAAGGAGCCATCCTTCAAAACCATTTTTGTCTAACCGTGAAGAAATTTGTTTGTTTTCTATTAGCTCCTTTCTTAGCATTATTATCCATATTATATTATTTTTTATATATAATTTTTATATTATATATTAATTTTAATATTATATATTACAATATTAGCCTTCTTTACCATTCACTTACTCATAATTCAACCCTATCCTGTCCTGCGTATGCGCTGGAATTCGTTAAAAGCGCGCCACTATCTTCGTTAGGCCGTGTACGCGCGCCCAGCTCGGCATATCTGAGAGCACTGCGGAAGCAGTGCGATTGCGCCACGTCGCACTCGAGCAGTTAATATTTTGAAGATTATAAACTTTCGGAAGAGAGCGTGTACTAGTGATAGCGCAACTGAACATTGATTGCTCTAAAACGTAGAACTGCATACCAAAATAAAATACTATAATCAATATTCAGTGAAGAATGTGAAGGAACGATTACAGCGAAAAATAAAGTATTCTCGAGAAAGAAATGATTTAGTAAATTAAAAACTATTAATTCTCTCATCCATCTTTTCACTACGAAACAAATCTGTATTGCAAGGACGATGACGTAATTTTTTTATTTTCAAGAACGATCTTATTCGGGGAAGAGTATCTTTTCCCAGCGAAGAGTGTGAGGCGGTATTTTGAACAATATTATGCGACTAACAAATAAATTTTGAATTGTATAAAAAATACTTTTATTGAAAAGGAGAAGTAATTCAGCGTGACAATTATTATCACGAACGGAAACTGTTGATTATGATTTCAATTTAGCGGAAATTAGACTCACCGAGATTCGATTGTTTGTTAATCTGCTATTGGAATCCGTCTCCGTTTCACCTAATAAACATGATGATAAAGCTATTTGAGGCTTCCGAATTAGGAGACTCACTCAGCGCAGTAAATATGAATATTCGCAATGTAAAATATTTGAACTCGTTGTGGCATATTTTGCCAAGTGTATCCTTCTCGTATATACGCATTGTTCTTTTTTTTATTTTTTTTATTTTGAATGGCGCAGGAGATTAGATTATAGTTTTAAAAAGTACGCTTAACTCGTCGACTACACTAATCCAAGCAACAGAAATGTTCAAGACGACGTCTAAAAGATTTTCTTTAGAGTAATGTTGGAAAATTAGAATACCTTTTAGATGCTTAAGAGAGATTTGAGAAATTTGGGGGGAGGGGTGACATCTTTTGTGTGTTTAAAAAATGTTTGAAGGAAGTTGAGGGATATCTTGAAAATTAGAGAGCTATTTTACACACGTTTAATTTAATCTAAAGAGCCATAAATTGAGAAATTTAGAATACTCTGAACATAGGAACGAGATCTGAAGAATCAGAATGTCATTTAAACGTCTCTTGAGAATGCATCTCCGTATGCATTTTTATATTTATGATTGCTCGTAGGGCAATAATGAAATTGCTGCAAGAACGTGAGACATTTATATTAGGAGTGTTGTAAAGTCGCGTACGATATGAAGGTCTTCTGTTTGCCGGTCGAGTCGTTTAAATGCGAATGCCAGTCTCTGGAATAAAAATTGCGACGAACATGGCGTGCGACGAGAGAATAACTTTCCTTAAAACGCGTCTGTTCGTGCGCAAAGGAGAGATTTCGATATTTCGCAATGAAACGTCTCACTCTGTACACACAGTATTGATTAAGGAAATGATTTTATGAATGTAAAACAAACCTGTCGGATTAATTTCGAATGTGTTATACGATACACTTTATATTTTCTCTCTCTGTATGTCGGCACCTTGTATGTACGTGTGTACGATATGTATGTATATATGTATGTATAATTTATGTATTATAAGTGCTGAAATAAATCTCGTAAAGCAATGAAGCAGTCAATAGAGATTTATTTTTTACACAATGCTTCACAGAACTTGAAATATCTTCATTCTTGCAGGAAAATTTCAATCTAAGAAGCGTCTAAGAGCAATAAGAATAAAGAAGAAATTTTTAGATTTGCATGTTAATTTACACAGAAGATACGAGGATCAATCAAATATCAAACCGAACTAACATTTGCGGCTGAGATCGAGTGAAGATTAGTAGACGTATCTAGACTCCCTCTCTCGAGATATTGCAGTTTCGGGAATTAAATCGAAGACGCGAGTCTACATGGCATAAGGCCGGTCCGTTTCACCTTTTCGTTCGTTAAAAGCTTGATTATAATGCGTTACGCAACGACTTTAGACACTGCTCGCTCGCTTATCGTGCTAGCTAATAAACAAACGAATGCGAGGTGGTGTGCACGGCAAAGAGGGAGTCTAGATACGTCCACTAATATCTCCACTCGATCTCAGCGAACGTTAATTCGGTTTATATTTGATTCATCCTCAAATATTATTTCAAAGGGCCTTTTGATGAAATATTCTTGTACATATGTACAATATAAAAGGATAAAAAGGTGTGGATTTTAATATAAGAAAATAAATTACGAAACTTAAGGAAAAAGCTGGTCAAAAACCCGAGCTGGCTTATAATCGCTCTTATAATTCTCTATCATTCAAGTGTACAAACCGCACATTTTTAGTGGCCATCTTCAGTGTACAAACAATTTTATCCTAACGTATAATTATAAAAACTAAGCGCGCGCAAATTATAAAATGTAGATGAAAAATATTATCCCAGTCGTTAAAAAAACAGTGTTGTTATCTTACTTGATAGTTGCATCCTCGTAAAACAATACGAACCAATTAGTTGTACATAACTTTTTAAATTTGTGACACCACTTTGGCTTTTATTCGTTGGACTCTTTATGTTGGACAACTAATTAGTTCGATTTGTTTTACGAAGATGCAACTCTCAAGTAAGATGATAACACTGTTTTTAACGACTAAAATAATATTTTTTATCTATGTTTTATAATTTGCGTGCGCTTGGTTTTTACAATGATACGTTAAGATAAAGTTATATGTTCACGTGCGCTTGGTTTTTATAATGATACGTTAAGATAAAATTATATGTACACTGAAGCCGCAAAAAATGTGCCGAAACGTTTGTACATTTGAATAATAATACAGAGAATTATAAGAGCAATTACAGACCAGGTCGGGCTTTTGTTTAGTTTTCTTTTAATTTTTGTAATTTATTTTTTTTAATATTCTTGTATTTATCTATATCTTATGGCGCTATATTTTAATCGAAAACGTCTGATTAGGATAAAATCGATTTATTACACTGCAAATTTTTTGTTGTTATCTCTAATTACATAAGTACTTACGTATATTTCTTACGAACCAGTTGCAAGACCGACGTAACAAGCTTACCACCAGTTATCAATTATAAAAAGCCCATCGAGTATTGCACTGAATTCAGTGTCCACCTATCTGCCCATCTACGTTGTCGATTACTGTTCGAAATGATGATACTCGTTAGTCTTGTATTGATTGTTACGGCAGTAATACTTTTCTTGGTATACGCCAGGTTAGCAAAGTAGAGAAATAATATTCAATAATAATTAAAGTTATTAATATATAATATAACATATAAAATATAATTTATGATATTACAATAAATTATAGAAGTCTGCTAGATTCAAATTGTATTTCTAAGTGCATATTTTACATCAAATTCAGAACATTTTTACTCTCTACCCTGATGGAAATATTTTTCTGAAAATATAACGAAATTTTGCTGAAATGTATTTGGAAATTTCTCTCAATTGATCCCATTAATTAATTTCATAAATATTTTAGCAATTTTTCAGTAAAAAGTTTTCAGTAACAGTTTTCAGTTTAATTCAGTAAATTTCATAATGTTTAATATTTCAAAACTTTTTTATTACTTTTTAGCAGTATATTTTAACTTTCCTTATATTTCATAGCATTACATTAAATTTTCATACGAAAAATTATGATTTATTTTGAAATATATTCAGTAATTTTTTAAAAACTTTATTTTACTTTTCATTGATTTCATAGTACTTTCAGCAAAATATTTCCATCAGGGTAGAGATCGTATCTCGCCATTAAAATCGATTATTAATTATCGACAAAGCGTTGCAGAATTGATTATTGTCGATAAACATGATAGAATTAATTATTATCTGCATTTCAACTGCAAAATTTGGGTAAAAAGGAACAGAACAAGGAAAAGTAGTCGTAAAGCAACTAAACACACCTGTGTTCAGTGTTTCAAATATACGCTTCACTTTACTCATGCAGAGGCAAGCTTAATTACTGGAAGAAACGCGGCGTCGAGTCCCTCGAGGGCGATCTGATCTTCGGCAACTTCAAGGACGCCATACTCTTCCGCTCTGCACCGGGATGGCATATCGGTCAGCTGTACAAAGCCGCTCGGGCGGACGCGGCTTACGTCGGCTTTTACATCTTCCACAAGCCGTGTCTGCTGTTGCGCGACCCGGACGTCATCAGGCAGTTCATGATTCACGACTTCGAGAACTTCTCCGATCGCCACTTCGCTGGCCCCAATCAGAAGGACAGTATTGGTATGAGAAATCTGTTCGGTGTGAAAAATCCGGTCTGGAAGTACCTGCGCACCAAGATCGCGCCTACGCTGACGAGGAACAAGCTGAGGCAGATGTTCCCGCTGATGATGGAGATCGGCACGCCGATGATGGAGTATCTGGAGAAGCAGCCGGCGGTCCGCGACAATGCGAAGCTCGTGGACGCGCAGGAGCTCAGTTACAAGTACACGACCGATTTGATCGCGTCCGTCGCCCTCGGCACGAAAATGGACACCTTTCACCATCCGAACACGGAGTTCTCGTCCGGAGGTATTAGTTTTGAACGGCTGAATGCGCGACAGAACAATTGATAGAGACAGCTGTCGTGTTATTAACTGCGACGCAACTTTTAACGCTACATGCGCAATAATTTTGCAGTTTACAAATTCTTTCACTCGTTCAAGAGGATGGTCGCTCTGGTGACGGTGTTCTTCATGCCCGAGCTGGTGGAGCTGATCGGGGCGAAGATACTTTTCGACTCCTCCTTCGTGCGTAAGGTTTTCTGGAGCGCGATGGAGAATCGCGAGAAAACCGGCGAGAAACGAGGCGATTTCATCGACTCGTTGCTCCAACTCAAGTACGGCGAACAGAATCCTGTTTACAGTGAGTAAATTTGTGCTTTAAATTTTTATTATTCATTCTTTGTATCTTGGCAATAGTTAGCGGAATATTATTATTATACGTTTTTAGTACAATCTTTTACGTTTTCCATTTTCTATTTTTTGTACGACCTTCCTCTGATAATTTTTATGATCTTTTTTTTTACCGTATATTTTACTACAGTTAAATAAATCAAGAGATAATATAAAAATTACAATCGTCTGATGTTTACTGCAGAATTTGAGGGTGAAAATCTGCTGCATCAGTCCGGCACTTTATTTTCCGGCTTCGAATCGAGCAGTACCTGCATGTCCTTCACCCTGATGGAACTAGCGAATTATCCAGAGTGTCAAGACTTAGCCAGGCAGGACATCAATCAAGCAATCGCCAAGCACGGCTGGTCGTACGAAGCGTTCAACGATATGAAGTATCTTGATCAAGTGATAGCCGAAGCTCTCAGACTGCATCCACCAGTGTCCACCATCGACAGATACACTCGTCAGGATTACAGAGTATGTCCGAAGCGTCATATCTTTAGACATCTTTCTCTTCTGAAATATTTAAGTCGAGATTCAAAGCCTTTTCGAACTAATGCTGTTGACTCGCGCAAATGTCAAACAAAAAACTTTTCTCGAAATGTCCTTTTTCAAAACTCTAAATCATTGCAAACTTTGATATAAAATTATTTAAGATAGTGGAGAAGTATAATTTTTTAAAACTTATACGTTTAGAAGTTGAATACTGTGAAAGACTTAACAGAGATTATTTATTACAAAATAATCTTGTTCATAAAGTTTACTCTCTTAGAAATAAACTCTTTTGTTCACTCTAATAATTTATTAGAATATCGAAAAGGCGTAAATGTGTTTCAGATTTCTGGCACCGATATCATTATCGAGAAAGGAACACCGGTATTTATTTCTCTGTATGGACTCGGTGAAGATCCAAAGTTTTGGCATGCGCCGGAAGTATTCAACCCTAACAGATTCGCTGAGAATAACCGCGACATGAGCGTTTACCTACCGTTCGGATTAGGTCCCAGGATGTGCGTAGGTAAGTAGTATATTTGTATTATAATAGTAATTTATTCTGTTCTACAATTCTTGTAAGAAGTACACAAAAAATTTTTTTTATTATTATATTATAACAAAAAGTAATAGCATATAAAAAAGAAAAATGTAAGGAAAGATAAAGACCGTGACGAATTATCGTGACTTTATTGAAATTGATATCGAATTTATTTAGAACAGAAATTCAGAATTTTATTCTTTAGAGATCGTATCGCCATTGAAGTCGATAAAGCGCGATAGAATTAATTATCGATAAAGCATTGTAAAATTGATTATTATCGATAAAACGTGATA